CCCGGTTCCTGTACAATTTCTGAGGAGTGCGTCCAATATCTCGCCGTACGAAGTACATATCACTACACGGCTCGCCAGATCAGAAGGGCGATAATCCTGCACGCTCGACTACTTAACGAGGACACTATTTGCTTGGACTGTTAAATCAGCAAAATTTCTTCGTGGAGTGTCACTGCAACTGTACATAATAAACGCCTCGTGGTCGGTTGGTCCATCCGACTTCTAATGGAGAGAAAATTGGGAGAGAATTCAGAGGCTGAAGATTACGATTTCCTTTGTTGGAAGAACATCAATGAAAAAAATCTTATAATGCATCTTTCTTTGTTTTAATGTTGTAGTGTATCTTACTTACATTCGTAATATCCTATCCCATGGATGCATGAATTTACTTGAATCGGACAAAGGAAGAAACCTGAGGCATCAATCTTCGCTCCGCCCTAGTCTTCAATCTCCAAATCCATCTCCGCTCTCTCTTTCCAGATATCCACCAGCCATTGTGCTCCCTCTTAAGGCTCAATGCTGTACGACACCTGTCATGGACATCGATGACATTCTCGCGTCCGTCGACCGCCATGACACCTCGCCCGAATCCGCGGCCCTAGACCACCAGCTCCTGACGCGCCTCTGGGTCGCTGAGCGAGCCGTGTCGGAGCTCCTCCCATGGCCTGGACCATTGATGGAACGGATGATGGAGCGAGTCAGGAAGCAGGTCAGCATTTCCACCCATCTCCTACAAAAGACCCATGAGTCCTAACCAAACCCACAGATCGAAAAAATCGAAGACCTCGCCGCCTCCTCCTCAGACCCGTACAGCACAACAGCAACAAGCACCAACAACCCCACCCTAAACCTCAAACTCTCAATCCTCCAGACCGACCTCGCCCGCACCCAGTTCCTCATCCGCTCGTTCCTCCGCCAGCGCCTCGCAAAACTCACAAAACACAGCATGCACTACCTCCTCCTCGTCGCGCCGCCCCGCGCCTCCCCGCCCCTCCTCGCAGCAGTCCCACACACAGACACCAGAGGACTCCATACCTGACCCCACCGAGAACCCGGACCCTTCCCCGCTCTCTGTGCAGGAAGCTGCCTTCCTGCATGCGCATCAGACGCTGCTGGCAGGGCACTACGGGGCGTCGTTTTTGAATTCGTTCCCGCCGCAGCTGAGGCGGTTGGATGATAATGCAGGCGGGACGAGTATGGTCCAGGGGCCGGAGATGCGGGAGGCGGTTGTGGTGAGGTGTTTGGTGGAGGAAGTTAGGGTCGTTATTCCGCCGGGGGATGGGATCGAGGAGGAGCAGTTTGGGACGACGATGCGGATGGGGGATGTGTGGGTTGTGAGGTGGGAGGGATCAAGGGGCGTGGGAGAGGGGGAGGTCGAGGTTCTTTGATTTGATTTGATTGGGTTTTGGGGGGAAAGACTACAGTACATAGCATCTGCCGGCGTTCTGAGGAGTTGATTTTCAGATGGCACATACATACCCAGACAGGCTGTATATGAAGTCAAAATCACGCATTCGATGTGATTTTGTGATCATTTTGCTAGCGAATGGTACCTACTGGCTTGTGGATAAGCCAGTCTAACACCAGGCCAAACGGCCATCATAATCATCACTCGTAGCGGGCCAAATGCATTCATTCGTGAGCTAAGACGCGAGCAAAAGCTGAACAAGCGAATAATTTCTATATCAATGAACCATGACCCCCTTTCGCCAGTCACCGCTAAGTTCAATAACATACCATGCAAAAGTCCCATGAGGAGATTGTTCACCAAAAGACACTACAAGTCCTCGTCAAAGCCGAACGGGCCAAGTGAGGACGGATTGCGAATGCGATCAAGCAATGTATCCATAAGTTGGAGGGTCCTCAGCCACACGCTCGAGATATTCACGGTCAATCAAACTCTCAATCCGTTTCTTGACCATGTTCACGTCGGGAACGAATCGCGCAGATAACTGGCCTAGCACCTCGCTCATAAGACTCGAGTGGACCAGCGTCTTGCGTTGCCTAAAAGGTAATTAGTCTCATTGTCACTGAAAGTCTTGAAAAAACTTACTTCATGATTCGAACAATTGCCGCCTCAATACTGGCCCCTCGCTCCTCATTCATCTTGTTCTCCGTTTCCTTTCGCTGGTCCTGATTCTCGACCTTGTTGGCACCACCACTGACGACACCAATGCGGACTTTCATAAACTGGCTCTGGAATTCGTTATTGAAAAAGAACCTGTCCGTCGGCTTCACATCCTTGCTCATGGGCTCCTTCTTCAGAACCCGCGTTTTGGGTGCGACGGCGAGTGATTGCAAGTTGCGAATCAGGTCGTGCTGCGGAATGCGTGTCCGCTCCTGAATCTCTTCGAACGTGAGTGACTCGCCTGTAGGTACGTCATTGAAAAGGAGGAGTATGATCATGGCGTATGTTGATACATTGAGTTCATGCCGTTGGACCTTCCCACTCGATCGTTGAAACGTCGCGCGAATATCAGCGGTTCCCATGCTCGGTTGCCATGATAGCTTCCGGCCGTTGTGTTTACTGAGATAGAACTGCTCAAAGCTCTGTTTAACGCTCTCGACCTCTTTCGGAAGGATACAGGCTAGCTGGACTTCTCCATCTTTGGGGTTCGACATGATCTCCATCGGCCACATGGTGCTGGTGAGGACGTTGATTTCCAAGTCTACCCGTTTCTGGTCCGGGTCCCCTGACTTTCGTATATGCTCTTTGTAGCTGGCAGACAAATCTTCCGAAATGGTCATGTCCTTGAACATGGCCTCCAAGCGCTGTGTGAACTGGTTTCCCACCTCCATCTTCATTTTCGAGATCATCTGCCGTTCAGCATCCATGCTGGCCGACCGCTTCATGAGGAGACGGCGAGAAAGATGTTTCTTGTAATAAGTCTCGAATAAATCCTTATCCTTGATGTACCGCAGCAGAGTGATGCCGTTGTCAAGAAGGGAATCCACCTCACTTTCTGTCTTGCCTTTGATGCCTTTCTTCAAATTCTCGTCGAAGAAGAGAGAAAGGAATTCCGAACTGCGTGCATTCGAGTTGATAAAGTCCGAAAAGCTAGTAGTGATGGCGCTTTGCATTCCGTGGTCTGACAAGAAGGCCTTCTCCCAGATATTGTCGAATTTCCTCTTGAGAGCTAGGATATCGTCAACCCACTTGATAGCAGCCACTGTTTGCTGGTTCACCGGCTTCTCCTTTTCCGCGGGCTTCTTCTCGCCGCTTGAACTCTTTTCCGTTGCTTTCGAACCAGCAGATATTGACGACTTTTCATATGCAATGGACGAAGCATTGATCTCTCGACCCATTTGACCGATCCGTTTCTGGACTGCCGTGGTGAGAGGTGTCTTTTTGTTGTCAACCCGAGCGCTAAGTTCATAGATGTCTCGCAAAATGTCCACCCGATCGTTGTCAAGCAAATTCCTGACACCCGTGCCTTCAAGATTGATGACCTCTTCGATGTTCCTGGCAATTAACTCTTGATCGAGGACACTCTTGATTTTTGGCTCAGTAAGGGGCGATAGGGTATAATGGCATCGTTCTTTTTCTTCGGCAATCCGGTTCGAGGCGATCCGACAAAAGGAAGCTGCATCGGCCATTTCCAACAGACGTTGCCCTTCAGCTCGATAGAAAACCTTGCTTGTTTCAAGGAAAGCGGGTTCAAACATGGTAAGATAGAGCTTTGATGACTCCTCCTCCGTGATAGTTTCGTAGAGACCCTCAAGCATGTAGATACAGTGCCGGATGAGGGGACGGTCAATGACGTGACCAGATCGTTCCAATTGAATCATGAACAGCACAGTGGTCTCAAGCACATCGGCAACTGTGGTTTTTGTGTCAGGCTGAATGGGAGATCGCAGGACTTGGTCGCGAAACAAAGCCATCGACGCAACATATATTGAAGGCTTCCGAAAGTCCGCCATGATGATTCGATCCTATATGGTATGAAGATGTTAGGTAGGAGATCCCGCAAACACAGAGAAGCGATGGACAAACCATGTACATGAGAACGTCTGTAATCATTCCCATGCATAGTTGGTGGTCTTCCCAAGCACCCTTGAGCACAGTCAGGAACTTCTCTCCTGCTTCCCTTCGCTCGCTGGCTTGATCTTGCATATCTGCAGGCTCCTGCGCCAGCAGTAATGTCGGCGAAATTGCTGCTGTCACTGTTTTCTTCACTTCGCTTCCCAGCCACTCTTCCTCCAGCTGCTTTACTCGTTCGTAGAGATCATCGCCGCGGGTCATCAAGACGATTCTGTAGGCGTTCCGGTACAGCTCTTCGAAGGAAAGAGCCGAGGCATTCTTTGTGTGTATCTCATTCAAAGAAGATGACAGCACCCCCCATATTGTGTCAAAATCGTCAGTCTTCGTCGCACTCAGACCCTTTGTTGAACAATTAGCTGATTGTTCGTCATAAAGCAAGCTCAAGAGGTTCCGTTATCCCAACTGCTGTCGTCCATTTGACAGACGAACAGTAGCATAGAGACGTCCAAATAGAACATGACAAGAACAATGGACATACCCTCCGTGGGGCACGAATCTTGTGCCTAGCCCTCATAGCCATTTTTGAGATATTGGCAATTTGCCATCCACCAGATTGTACAGTTGGGGCACCTCCGCGGGGCAGAGTAGTAGAATGCCCGACGAGGAGTGAGGTCGTGGCAGAAGCGCGGGGAAAATGAGCAGGGGAGAGAAACTTCCGACGATGAATACCAGCAATATCAAGTCTTTCTCTTCATCATCAAGATAATCATTAATGAATTGTGTTGATGGTATTAGATCAGACTTGATAAAGTTGCTGCGGAGTGAAAAGAGCTGGAAGAACCTAAGTCCGGCGCAATTTGGAGAAACCGTCGTCATTGCCGCCGGAGATCATACTTTTAGTCCTCAGTTTGCAATAACCTGACGATCTAGCTAGTCACTTTCTGAGCCATTTCTCGAACATTACTCCGCATCTCACCTCTATCCTTCCATCTATATCCTCAGATCAAATACCCTCATAATGCGCTCAGCAAGAATGCTATCATCCGGCCTTCGTGCCTTCAACTCTGCACTTCCGCGGACAGTGCTCTCACAACCCAAATCGCGACATTTCTCTCAGCTGCTCTCTCAAACTCCTCAACCTTCACCAACCCCATCATCGAGGCTCCTCCGGACTAGATTCCCCCAACTCACCGTCCGAAACAACTCCAGCTCATCATCATCCCCCCCAAACCTCACCGATCAAACCTCAAACGCCGCTCAGGACGCAGCCAACGAAGAACAGAACAGGTTACGCCGCGAGCAAGAACCCGCATATCAGATTACATTCACCTGCAAGCCATGTGGTCATCGATCTTCGCACCGTATGTCCAAACATGGGTATCACCGCGGGACGATCTTGATCCGCTGCCCGTCTTGTCTCAACCGCCACGTTATCGCCGATCACCTCAATATCTTCATGGATAAGAAGAGTACCCTCGAGGATATCCTACAGCGGGAGGGGAAGCGATTGACTCGTGGTTATGTTGACGGAGACATGGAATTCTGGGAGGATGGGACAGTGAAGAAGCGCGAGGAAGCGGATGACGGCTCGCAGGCGAAGTAAGATCAGGGACCGACACCTTGATTCGTTTTTCGAGCTTCTCGGGCTTCAGTCTACGTTATATCGAGGGAATGCCTACGTGGCTTAGCAAAGACTGATGGCGTTCACTTGCTGGGTTAATAGGCAAAAGTGCTTGGAGCATGCTCAATGCGAAAGTAGAGGCGTTAGATGGTGTTGGCTTTGGTAGAGATACATTGTGCATCGTTTGTATATATCAACTCCACTTCCTGTTAATGTACATCGAATTCAACTAATGTTCGTTGATGAGTGCTCTTGGTATCTTATGTGGGCAAAGGCGCAATGCGCGATAAGATATAGATCAATGGGCATAGAATGCGGGCTGAGTCTAGAACACGTTGCAATAGGATATCACTCATTTATATACACTGCTCCCAGCTCTTGCAATAGACAACATTATACCTCAATATGTACCCTATCTCACAATCCAATCATACTTTTTATATACCCCAACGCCGAGCCAGTGCAACAATATCCCAGTGGACAAACAAATCTAAACTAGACAACGGCATCTACCAGCCGCGTCTCTTTCCCCGTTGTTCCATTCCCTTCTCCTTGCGCTTCTCGCGCTTGCGGTCGTTTCGCCTCTTCTTGTCCCGCTCGTATTTCTCCGGTTCTGCTACCGCCTCGATGCGTCTCTTCATTCGACGCCCCTCACGTCGCTCCTTGATGGAGTCCTGGACAGACGCCATCTGGGTGATATACTCCGTAGTGCCCAATTTCTTCTGAAGCAGGTCGAGGACTTCATGGCAGTTCGAGACCAGTGCCTTGTATGACTCCCGGAAGCGTTCATCTGACGAGCGAGGAGCGGGAATTGACGGATCGGTCAAGTGCTGAAGAGGAAGAAGGATGGTGGGCAGCGAGGGCCGGATCTGATCAGTTTCAAGATGGCGGCAAAGGGCTGCGAGAAGACCAATGGACGCGCTCTTGGGAATCAGGGAATGTGCCTTAGTTGTGAGGAGTTCCCTGCGTAGGATTGAGGAGATCTGCTGGAAAATGTACTGAATGGCAGGCTTGTCAGAGCGCTCCGTGTGCCCGTTAGCGTTTTCTTCGTCGTCATCGTCTTCACTCTCGCTTTCGCTCAATTCGGCATCCTTAGACCCACTGGTGGGGAAGACAAGACCATTCTGAGCGCAACACCGGCCAAGGAAGATAACGTTGCGGACGCTTTGCATAGCAAGTTCTTCACTTATACCAGGAGTGCGGAGACAGCGTAGACTGGCGCGGATCAACTGTAGCATGGCGTCCTTGTCAAGTGCCAGTCCTGTAGAGCCAACCAATGGAATCGACCCATAGCCATTCGCAGCATTAGTCCTCCCAAGATCTGCAAACCATGTACCAACAAGGTTAGAGGCGCAAGTCTTGACCCAAGCATGAGGGTAAAACAGGCACTCTCGAACAGCAGCCCAGATTGGAACGCGCTCTTTGGCTAGAGCCACAGCAGGGACGGCCTTGCAAAGCTTAGTAAGGAGCTGCAAGGCGAAGTAAAGCACTTCCCAATGTTCAGTCTCATCGCTCTGGAGAATTGGCTGCACAATGTCGGGGAGGATTCCCATGACAAAACGCGCTTCTTTGTCCTTCTCTGTCTCCTCAACCTCGAAGAAGACCCTCATTGCTTGTAACCCAGTACTGGTCAGAAGAGCGTTTTCGGTTTGCTCGAGCCAAGACCGGATGGGTGTGAGGATGGACTTCATTTGTTCCCTGTCCGCTCTACTAAAGAGCTCGCCAAGTAGCGCACCTGCCATTTCTCTGCACTCAGGTGCATCGTCATTCGCCATGACCATGACCACCGGCAAGAAGAATGTGCCGACGATGTCTTGAGCCAATTCGGTTCCTGTCTTAGCCAAGAGCATGTGTACAGCTTCCATCACAGATTGACGACCTTCTTGGTGCTTGTAGTCCAAGTTCTTAGCCAGGAAACTCAGTTGCTTCGCCCACCGATTCTTGGCTTGAGGATACTCAATCAAGAAGTGAATATAGGTGCCGCGTGCTAGATCTCGAGCCGAACGGGTTTGGTTCGTGACCATCATGGCTCCAATGTGGTCCATCAACTCATAGATTTCGGGTACCACAAATTTCCTGGCCATGACCGCGCGAATGAAGTTAAACGTCACGCCTTGGCGGTCAGGCTCTTCAATGTCGGAGACCAGACGCTGGAGGAGGTACGCCAGGTGCCCATCTCTAAGTTTAGCGCTCTTCCTCTCTCGCAGCATAGCCGACACTAACTTCAAGGACGCCTGTGCAGCCTCGGTGTTGGTACTTGGTGCCTCCTTGATGATCTTGACTGCTTCGGTGAAATAGACGTGAGCGTTGTCATCAATATCTGGGAGAGGAAGCTTGACGATAGTCGACAACAGGCGAACAGCCGCGATCTTCACTTCCTCGTGGGCCTGTATTAACGAATCGCCGATGATAGGGATGAAGCCAGCCAGGTTGGTAGGGGTGAGCAGGGAGTCATATTTGTTGAGTATTGAGCGCAGCACATCAAGCGAGAATCGAGTCAGCTTGTAGATATGAGAAGAGGTCGTTCCACGTTTGTCGCCTCTCTTTGCGCCTTTGAGGTTCACCAAATAGCGTTGTTCACGAAACGAAACGTAGGGCTCTTTCTGAACTTCCGCCGGATCGCGATATGTCTCCTTGATGACCTCATAACAGAATACCAGGATGTCACGGCTTTCAGCGCCTGGGTTCCTTAGCAGACCCACTCCAATTCTCCGCAAGAGTTCGTCGAGTTTTCTAACCATGCTAGAGTTCAGCTTCTCACGCAACAAGGACTCCAAAGGCCGCAGCAGATTCGCAAGATTTCGGACAGTCGCATTCTTCGCCAGCAGTTCCATCGAATCATAACTCTTACTGCTCTTGACTTCCTTCATCTTGCTCACATAATCCTCCGCATCTTTCTCCTGGCCGACCACCCCAAAGGTGTCATCCATCACTACGGCACTGAGATCCGCTAGGCAGTGATCCAAGTCTCCTTGCTGGAAATCATCAGTTGTCGCCACGAGCATCGAGTGAACTGTAAAGGAAAGAACGTGAAGTTGATAGCCCTTCGTGAGCGTGCTGCGAAGTTCCCTAAGAATGTACCTGAAATAGTTAGGACCCAGCAGAAGGGCAATCTCATTAAGTGTCTTTCTAGCGGTGTCTCGCGCGTCTTGAGATCGGCTTTTAAGAATGCTGCAGACATCCAAAAGAACAGGAGGCAGACGGATTGCCATATCCTGCTCGGGCAACAGCTTCAGAAGCTTGATTGTAGTGATCGCAGCTGGCAGACGCAAGCTCATCTGAGCCTCATCTTTGTGGTGGATGAAGTCAGTCAGGAAAGGAATGAAATTTGTAGTCAGCTCTGTCGCGACCTTAGCAGGCGACGGCATAGTCCGAGCAAGGTTGCACTTGGAGGGCGCGGAGACCTCAATTCCTTCCATGCTGTCGTCGCCGGTCTTCTGAACCACCGTCTTTTGGCTCATTGCGTTGCTTAAGGCATCCGCCATTCTGCCTAGAAGCCTCAAAATGTTCTTTTCCATCTCAGACTTGCTCTGCATGTACCCACGGTATCTCCGAAAGATGGCTCTGAATTGGTTCCAGTCCAACCATTCTGCAAGAGCTCCGATAGTGGCAACGGCTTCCGCAATCAAATTGTGACCACCTTCGTCGACTTCCTGGTCGAAAACAAAGTGTTCATTGAGCGGAATAAAAATCGTGCTGATATTCGAAGCCTGGAGACTACCCTTCGCTGCTTCGCCAGCAAGACGGCGGAGAGCTCGAAGACGGCGATGCTGTTGTATGTGGAGAATATTCGTAAAGAAGGACGCCTCCTCGTCGTCACCAACGAGAAGCCCATGCATATCTTGCACATTGGGCCTGGTGGGATTCATCTTGACAAAGTAGCCAAGAGTAGACACGAATTCGGTCCGAACCAGCTCTGATTTCTGTCGGATTCCGCTCTGCAAAGCTGGGAATAGGATTTCTTTGACCAAGGGTTCAAACTCGTCAGCGCCGGCCCCATCTTCCTTGGTCGCTCTCTCAATAAACCGCTTCAGTCCAAAGGAAGCACTCGATCTGATAGCAAGTTCATCTTCATCCTTCACATGGAATAACATGTTATAGAGGAGGGGACGCCACTGTTTCGCATCCATGGTCTCCCAAAGACTATCATTAATTTGTGCGAAGGCTTGGAGACGACGCTCGTAGTCAACTTCCAGTTTCTTTCTAGAGATCGAGTTCAGGTCTGCACAGAGCTCAGCCACTTTATCTAGAGCAGTATCGTGTTTCACGAAAGCCGCGAACACCCTGGACAACACCTCTCGGTTCGCATCATCTCTGAAGTAATCAAACATGGACGAAACAGCCTCAAACACCTCTTGAAATAATTTTGGATCTTCCTCAGGGTTGAAGAGAGGCAGGAAGTGTTCGAGGATGCGCAGGAGACCCGACTTGGTTTTGGGAGACACTCTATCTGCTGGTTGACGTAGGAGATATGTCGTGATGCCCACCAGTTCCGTGGTTTCCTGGAACGATTCGACACATGGTGCCAGGAGAGAGATGGTCTGCACCCCAGATATCAAGACCGTACGGGAAGGTCCACGTTTCAGGAGGCGGCCAAGGTGAGAGAGTGTATGCTCGATATAAGGTGACAAGACTTCGGATCGAATCTCATCTGCCGAGAAATCGCCCATTTCTTCTTTCTCTTCCAGCTCTTTTCCACTAGCGAGTTTGATAAGAGGGACCAGAATCTCGTCCATCACGTACACCTTGACCTCGTCGCGAGCAGATTCCACGCTGAGACAGTCGACGACTCTGGTGAGGACGGTATTGTTGTGGCGCACAAGATAGAAAGAGAACCCGGGGCGGAAGCCCAGGTATGGAACAGCCGCAGTAGACCCGAAACTCCTTGAGCCGTCTCGATCGCGAAATTTTGAAGACGAGGGTTGATCACTTCGTCGAAGATGAGACGAATGTAAGCAGACCAGTCTTTGTCCAGAGAGACGGCGAAGATCAGCTCAAGGCAACGGATACAAGTATGCCGGATATTGCGGAACACGGTCAATAGTCTTCCTTCGGGAGAATCCGCAGCAACGTCAGAGTGGTCTTTCTCTAGCTCTCGACAGGCTCTGACCAAACAGTATAGGACCGCGTCCATGGATCGCTGGGCATATAGAGCCATGCGGCTTTGCAGCGTGTCGAACACTGTTTCGATCATCCTTAGCAGACCCATCTGTCTCCTGGGGCTAACCAGGTCTCGAACAAATGCTTCTTGGTTGACTTGCCCCTCCTGTAACAATGAGACATCTCCAAGAGGACCGAACGATACCCGGATGAAAATTTCGAATTCGCTATCGGGGAGCTGTGACAACGTCCGCAAAATCGCCTTTCTGCGTCCAACTTGGCCAGCTTGGCCACTTGCGCTAGCTTTCGAAATCATTCGTCCATACAAGAGGCGTAAGAGGACCGGAAGAAGTTCACCTCTATGGGCTTCTTGAATCAAGCTGTCGTCACCACCGACATGTACGAAGACAGAAAGCTCGTCTTTGAAGCGTGACTCGTCCAGAATGTTCAACAGGTTTTCTTGGTACGGCATAATGTTCGGTGATTTCCAGGTAAATAAAGCCTTGAGCGCGGACTTCTGAATCTCTGAATTACCATGGCAGAGCAGCCCAAGAAGGGCGTCATGGACCTCTGATGCCTTGAACAGCACCCGAGGATTGGCGAACTTTCCGAGCAGCCCAAGGAACGACAACCGGTCATGGAATCCCCAAGGAATGTACGAATCGTCGGCGCTTTCGGCATCCTCGTCATCGCGTAATGCCCACGCAAGGAACAGGGGGACAATCAGGCGCGATTTCTTCTCGGCGAGAGCAGGTGCTGCATTAAGAACACGCAGAGCATGGGTTCGAGGGGCCACAGGAACGACGTCAGAGAGCTCATGATCTCTCTCGAACCCTTCCAATAGCTTTGAACTGGGCGGCACCGCAGCATTGAAATGAGAAGCAAGACGATCTTCAATATTAGCCGCATTGAAGCATTTGAAATTTCCAGTTGTATGGTATTCGGCCTCGTCGTCCGCTTTATCCGCGGTATCGGTCGAGCCGAGCTCCCGAAGCCACTGAAATGCTAGGTCCGAAACGATGTTTTCGCCTGCTGAATGCTCGCTAATCGACTTTAGCGCAGCAGCCGAATCCTCCCACAGCGGTGCCAATTTCTTTGAGAATAAACCAAAGCAGAAATTGGGGATCAACCTGGCCATCCATCGCTGAGAAGCCACTTGCGGGTAGAGGATGGCAAGCTTGCGGACATGCATCGACAGAACTCGTGCAGTCTGCAGATTAAGCGGGCTCTCTTCGACTTCTATGGCCAAAGAAATGGGCGCAGGATCTTCTCCTGAAGCTTGTACCAACTCTCGCAGGATCTTTAACGACAACAGTCTAACTTCTTGAGAAGGGCCTGCGAGGTTGGTAATTAGAACGTTCGCGAAATCTTCCAGCGCGGGTTGTCCGAAATCCAGCTTCGTGGAGCAACTCGACACATAAGCCAAGATCGCTTCGAGGAATGGCTGAATCCTTGAGTATTTTGCAGCAGCAGAGCCGATTGCACCCCAAAGGGCCGAATCAACACCTTCATTAGAAGCAGCCAAATCCACATAGGACTTAAAGCCTTGGCCAAGGAAGAATTTTGTGGAGGTGGATAAATCAAGTTCACTCTCGTTCAAGACGCGGGATAAATGATCATGAAGACTGCGAGTCATATCGGGTAGAAGAGAGGGTTCCGTGGTCAGAGATATGGCGCTGGGAAGCTTCGAATATGCATTGAGAAGAGCCACTTCAGTGGCACTGGGCCCATGACTGCCCAGCATGTCCTTGATGCGGGCCTTCCAGGGAGTTGGGCAGGTGACATAGCCAGGCTTTGAGACTTCCGAAGTGATACAACCTGCCTGGTTCAACCGGAGCAAAGTCAAACATAACTCGTATTCATGCTCTTGCCATGAGGAATTGACGAACCTAAGGCTTGGGTGTTAGTAGGTAGAAACATCAGCACATATGCAGTCTGACTTACTTCTGAAAGTAAGGAAGGACAACGCTATGGAATCTCTCCGCGCCCCATTCCGAAAACGTAGCACAGAACGAAAGAAAATAAGCCGAGAGCTGTTCCTTTGCGACAGCATCCATGAGTGGGCGCATGAACGGTAGCATCTCGTCCATAGGAGACACCTGGAGTGCGTATGCCACGGTTGTCAGAAGTTGAGGGATCGAATCGGCATACGCGCCAGGCGCAGCCGAGGCCTTCTGAAGCAAGAGCAACAGACTCTGGTGAACGGGCTTCCAGTTCTTTATACGCGACCCTTTGCGGGTACAGACACAGATGAACATCAAACGACAGTACAAGTTTGCGTGTTGTTTGTCGGACTTCTTGCGATTGGCTTCGATGTAGGAATTAATCGTCTCGACGATTGGTTCGTATGTGTCGGCAGTCGTATTGTGATTGACGTTAATAAGTACCCCGCTTACAACCTCAACTGCTAAGCTGCTGCGCAATTCATTGCCGGTCGGAGCATTATCAAGGAGACAGTTGAGAATATCGGTTGCGTTCGAGTGTAGCCCGCCTTTGACACCTTTGACCGCATCCGAGAACATAGCCATCAGCCCTTCCTTGTACGTCTCCACATTCTTCGAATCGGCAGCCGCCTGGTGCAAGTCGTCAAGCAAGAATGAAACTGCATGCTGTAATGGAGCCTTATTTTTGTAGTATACGAGTCCGGCCTTTCGAATGAGGAATGACATTGACTCGGCGGCAAATCTAGCGACGAATGGCTTCTGGCGTTCTTTTCCGAGGTAGGGTGTCATGATGCCCAGAAGCTGTCGCAAGTCTGGGACAAGCAGACGGGAGAGGAACTTGAAGATCCATGCCAGGCACGTAAAGCTCCATTCGACAACCTCAACATCAGGATGAGTGGCCGCGACCGACGCCACGAGGGTCACGGCGGTAGCAAAGTGTTTCTCAAATCGGACCCCGAGATCTCTCGCAAATTGAGCAAGCAGTGTCAGCAGTGGTTCAATAGAAAGCTGATCCCTCTTCTCGATATATTCCACCAGTAGTCCCATAATTTTGTCCTCGTGGTATAAAATCTGGGCAAGACTTTCACATAGCGGGTTGACTTTTCGTGCGAATTGCGAAAAATTGTCCGAGAGATTCAGCTCAATCCAATGGTCAAACGCCGATCGAAAATACGAAGACGTCTCATCTCCATCTCCTTCTCCTTCTTCGCCAAAACTCGGACGGCGCACTCGATGAATCGGGTCGATCTTCAATTTCGCGACACGCTGAGAGAACGGTTCGAACCGATGTGACTTCGTCGTCTCTGTACCTTTCTTCACACGCTTCACGAACGTTGTCCGCGAAGTTGATGATGTTGCCACCATCTTGAAGATTGACGGCGACAGGGAGAGCAACGCCGATAAAATCGTTGCAGTGTTTCCTGTCGAGAAACACTTTCGTAGTGCTTGTCAATACAAGGGAAAAAAAGTTCATCGGCGGCCGCAGCAGAATTGTTCCGGTGCGGAGATTAGCGTCGGCCTTAGGCAGGCTTGACACTAACCTACTTTGGAATAGTGCCAATAGCACGTGAGAGCAGCGGGTCTAAAGCTCTAAGCTTCTTTTGGATCCGCCTTTGAGCCAAAAATGGTGATGTCGATGTCTTCACTGCTGTTGATGTTAAATATTCAAGTACAACAAGAATTTTCTCTCTTTGAGCAGCATAATTAGATCTGCCTATCTATCTGTACTCCGTCAGTGCCAAGGGAGAGAAATATTCTGATCAGTTCTCAGAGAATCCATCCTTCAACTATGTTGATATCAGCTGTTGCATCATAGGGTTCAGAGTATAAAATAATTGAAGAATGGCTTCGAAAATGTAACTTATTCTTTCTGCAATTGATACTCGACTTGCTGACGGAGATTTAGTGTTGTGATTGGGAGTGTGAACTGTGAGCTGCGTGAAGTGTTCACCAAGCTCGCCAAGTTACATGTCAAGCAGAACTTCTCAATTGCGATCATTGTTGGGGATCTCTTCGGAGATTGCTCGACGGAGCATGAGCTGGACGAGATCACTGCCCTGTTGCAGGGGAACATCAACGTACCCCTGCCAACTTACTTTGGGTTAGGCAACCGACCCCTTCCCACTAGGATAGTGGAAAGAATCGAGGCAAACGACGAAGTTTGCCCGAATCTATACTTCCTGGGCAAACGCGGTACTCTTAAGACCGCGGAAGGCATCCGTCTTGTTGCCCTTGGTGGCAACCTCGAGACAGACAGCAAAGCAACCAACAAGTTCCATCCCGGCTATACAGAATCTGACGCCCGGGCACTCTATGGAGCCCACAGTGCGGACATCCTGATCACTCACCAATGGCCCAAGGGCATCCGAACCGGGTCGAATGCGCCGTTACCGGAGGATGCCAAGGTGCCCGAGGAGGTGCAATGCATCGCAGACCTCTGCTCTACCTTGAAACCTCGATACCATGTTTCCTCGTCCGATGGATTCTTCTACGAGCGCGAGCCATTCTTCCACATGCCATCAGAGGATTACCCAGACGCCAAACCCCTCACCCGCTTCATCAGTCTGGCATCCTACAGCAAAACATCCAAGCAAAAATGGATGTACGCCTTCACGCTGGATCCCAAGGCCCTCCACCCCTTACCATCCCCGTCGGAGCTACTGCAACCCCTCTGGCCCCCATCCAAGTCAAGCGGAAAGTCCTTCCATCTCAGCGAGAGTCCTACCACCGCTTCGCCGGCACCGAAGAAGATCACAGCCGGCCGCGCAAGCGCGCCCGAGCCCCTCCCCCAGGGCCGGAGCAATGCTTCTTCTGCCTCTCCAACCCCAACATCGCAACCCATCTCATCACCTCCATCGGCAACGAAAGCTACCTCACAACCGCCAAGGGACCCCTCACCACCGCCAAAACGTCCCCTCCCTCAACTTCCCGGGCCACATCCTCATCATCCCCTTCACCCACACCCCACCCTCTCCAGCATCACAGACCAGACAGCCCGCCAATCAACCTACGCCGAAATGCAGCGCTACCGCTCCGCCCTGCACGCTATGCTCCAGCAGCGCAGCAACGGCGGCCTCGGCGCCGTCACCTGGGAAGTCAGCCGCGGAACCGGCATCCACATCCACTGGCAATTCCTGCCCGTCCCCGCCGACCTAATCAAACGCGGCCTCGTCGACGCCGCCTTCAGAGTCGAGGCCGAGAACCTCAACTACCCCAAATTCGAGCGGCCCTCCGCAAGCGCCGACCCCAGCAGCGAACCGGGCGATTTCTTCCGCCTTTGGATCTGGGAGCCCCGTCCGCCTCCGCGGCGGAAACAGAGAACCCCGACGGATCGGACGGTGCGACCACTAAAGGAGCCGAGAACACGCTCCTCCTCCCCCTCGGGCCGGAATTCCGTTTCGATATCCAGTTCGGGCGGCGCGTGATGGCGAAACTGATGGAGTTGGAGAACAGGATGAATTGGAAGGATGGGGTGCAGCCGCAGGAAGAGGAGGAGGCGGATGCTGCTGCGTTCAAGGAGGCATTCAAGGAGTTTGATTTCTCGTTGCAGGAGTGAGGTCACCGAGAGGCGTTTTATCTTTGGCTGGGTTGGCGGTTGCCCTTTGTGCCCGTAGACTTTGCTAGCGGGTTGTCTGAGTAGAAGATATTACATGTAGAAAAGTAATTGCTGATGGTGACATCCCTCAATTCGAGGTTACATTAATTGGAACCTTATTTTGGGGTCTGTATGTCTCGAAAGACGTATTTACTACTGTCTCAAGTTTTATACTCGGTTCTTTGACTAGGTCAGATAATGTTCCATCGAGCTTCCCTAACAGCGATCCGTATCGACTGGTAATCAACCATGAACAGAATGGTATACATCAAAAAGAAGACATCAAAACCCAGACCCAAGACAGTCATTCACGCGTGGTCCAGGAGTAAATCGTGAGAAGCAGAGGGGATAATCCGAGGCGAACGCTCCGTCATGTAGCAGGCGGCCGTGATTCCCATAACACCGAAAAGTAAAAAAAAAAAAAAAAAAAAAAAAAAAAAAAAAAACCCTTATCCTCGAGAGTATGAGCTGACAAGCATAAAAGAGCAAGGCGTAGACTTTCAACCCAGAATGATCATACACATCACATATATCCGAAATGTGGTCACAAGCTTTTGGAGAAAATACAGAAGGAGACAGGACTTATTCAAGGGTCCCTGTGTGACTCAGTTGAGATGCTAAACATTCCGATATGAGTTAGGTGCGGGTTTTCGCCCGCTTTGTAGGATACTCGGGGGCCTGCCCGGGTCGCTCACTTCGAGAGGAACAGGATTCGTCGCCGAGAATGGTGGAGGTGGAGATGTAGGAGGGTTCGGGGACATTCCTCTGTATGATGGTGGCGGCATGCTTGACATGCCTGGGGAGGGTTGGCGGTAGGGCAGATGACGGGGCATCTCCGCGGAAGGCGACAGTGCCGTAGGCATGTTTGAGTACTGTGTTTGCGAGCTGTAAGGAGCCGGGTTTCTGGGCATAGGTTGCGAAAAGCTCTGCGGAGAATAGTCATGATATGCGCGATCATAAGGGGAGGTTGTGCCCTGATTATAGGGCCCGGAGGAATCATGGTTATACTGGCGCTCGTCATCGTAGGGTGAAGACGCGTGAAAATAGCCGGGAGAAGAAGTCTGCGTTCTAATGGGAGGGACGCCCATTTGCCCAGGGCTATTGAACCTCCCAGGTGACTGCACTCGCTGATAATCCTGGTGCGCAGGATTCAAGGGCTCCATCTCCATCGTGTTCTGATGATTGTTATCCTCCACTCTTCTGGTGACAGCATCATTCCAACTCGGCATCGCAGGCAGCGCATCCTCATTCACCTTGGCAGGTGCAGGGCTGGTTGGCGACTCGAACCGCGCAACCTGGGCTCCACGGTAAACCGGAGGACCTGGAGGAGCATGATAACCATCGTTTGCCGGCATCGGAGGCGGCTGATGATACCCCGGGTCGTCAAGATACTTCGCTCTTGGAGCTTTGTTGCGAGGGGACGGGCAGCAACACGAGCAGCACCGGCAACAGCCCGTACAACACTGGATACCGCAGCATAGACAATTAATCACGCACGCAATCACAGAGATGATGATGACTGCGCCGATAATGATACCAACGATGACGGGCCATCTAATTTAAGCTCAGTCAGCACATCGAATTAGACGGGACCAGAAACCGCGCAACGTACTTGCAATAAGTTTTTGCCATGCACTTGTCCCAACTCGAGAATGTATCCGGCGCAGACTTGAGGTCGCCGACTACGTCCCGTGCCCATAGTGAGAGCGAGGGGCGATCGACTGGACTCATGACGCAGGTTTAAGAGGATTATTTATCCTCCGTTGCCCCTGGCAGATAGGTTCTTCCGCAGATCACAAAATTTCAGGTGTTCCCTTCCGACGCTGCACTACTGGTTTTCCTGGCGATTTAGTGCAATCTAATGCGACAATGCCAGGGCGAGATAAGCGGATGGGAAAAGAGGTGGTCTAGGTCGTACAAGGCTGTCATAGATCGCTGGAAACTCGATCTTGACGGCAAAAATCCGGGGATAGAACAGTTTCAGTCAAGTAAGATCTCAGAAGATCGCATGCCATCCGGCGTGAGTGCAATTTGCCGGTCTGTGGTGGTTAAGGTACGTAGGCAGCAGGTAATCTCGACTGCCAAAAGAGCGTTGGAATTGGATCTTAAAAAGGTTGACACTCGAACAAGAGTATATACACAAGCCTTTGAAACGTAGAGAAGGAATGAATAGGATAGAAGGATCGAAGATGAAAGTAAGACGAGTCGAGTTGCTGACGAGATGCGTCTCAGACTTGATGCACACCACCCGCCTCCAAGTATCTTATCTGACAGCGTCGAACTCTTGAAAGAAAGTAAGGTGAAGAGGCGAATGAAAAGAAAACAGCAGAACCGAAGGAATCATAAGTTTAAAAAAAGATTTAGGAGGAAGAAGAAAAAAATAATTCGACTTGGGAAAAAAGGAAGGTTGGAAAAGAGGAGGCAGAGGGATAACGATAGGCATGATTATCACGCGGGGATCAGCAATAAATCATACCTGTAGAGAGGTAGGTACCCGTACTCCATACACGAACCGCCTATCGCAGCGGACAGGAAAAATGCTGACAGGTGTCGTGAATGGTTGGTTCAGTCGGTTGGAATGGGCTAAATAATGTTAACCAAAGGTTTACCAACGGGAGGATTAATCTCCCATCGCACGGTTCGCACCAGCCAAGAACTTCTACCTACGAGGGGTCAACAAATGTTTGCAGACACATGGTTGATCGATAACTGATAAAGTAATGGCCCTCTCCACCGCGGTGTTTGCCCTTTGCAAATTTGTCGATCGCTCATTTCAGTCGAATGTGGATTTCAATATTATTGGTAGTTGTGATCCACAGGGGCTTCGAATGGAGGATCTCCTATACGAAGTCAAGTCTACGAAGAGCATGCTTTGTGTTGTTCTGGATATTTTCGATGGAGAATAGAGAGGTACTGGCATCCTACTTTGTGCGCAGAGGAATGGAATGTCAAGTACGGGGTAGATAGTACGATCTGGATGAAGTGCTGCTCTCCCGAGGAAGGCTGGATGGGAAACAGAATATATAACGGAAGCACTTGACTTCACGCAAACAGAAAAGAGGACATTCTGTATCACTGATCAATTAATATCTCTGATTAAATAAATTATAGCACATGAATTTCCTAGGACGGGTATGGTTAACACTGAAAACTTCCATGCAGTAGGCCACGAAAGTCAAGAGCGCGACATTTTCCCTTTAGGTCATGAAATTAAGAATCGATGTAGAGACGAAATATAGAGGCTCATGGTAACATCATAAACTCCTTCACAATTGCAGACCGCATCAATTATGAGGGAAAGAGTGGAACGAGAGACAAGGTATCCCAACACTTCCGAAAACGCCTAGACAAACAACAGTGCTCCCTGACCAAAGAATCACTCGAGATCTAACAGGCAACAATGTTCCTAGTACCAGTGCATGCATTCTGCACCAACCTACGCCTTGGGTCCGTTCGGAGGTGGCGGCCCTGGCGGAGGCTGGTATACTCGGTCACCTCCTGCGTTATAAGCGTGCGGTGGCGACTGCAGCTCGATGCCCGTTTGTTGTCCACCAAAATAACCATGTGTCTGCGGCTGAGGTGTATACTGTGGTGGCGGCTGATGTTGATAGTATGGATCTCCGTAATACGGCTGATTTGGCGGAGGAGGGCCTGGAGGAGGAGCAAGCCAAGCGGTCCCGGGATGAGGCCGGAGACCGCGATGGCGACGACGACGAGCGTTATAACATCTATCAGGAGCAGTTAGCTGATATTCATGACACTAGGGAGAAAGTAGACGGCGACATACGCAAGAAGGAAGAAAATTATGAAGGCCGCGCCAACAATCACAGCAAAGGCAACCCAGCGGCCCCAGCTATACCAGGCGCTGTCGTTGCATCTACCAGTCCAACTATCGTAATAGCTAAAAGGGAGTTAGTCACTCACTCGACTTGAATGTCACAGGCAGAGATGGAATGGATACTCACCATACTTCTCGCTGATAGAGGAAGCCCATGGTGGTCGGAGAACCTCTTCGATTCACGGCCTGGTGATGATGACGTAGATCAGGCGGTGGACGAAGAACTCCTGCAACCGACAGATGGAGGTGGTAGACGGTCGTACAAGGAAGAATGCGAGTCAAATACGCTTGAGACACAGGGATGCTTGATGGGAGTGACGAGAAGGTATGTAAGGGAGGAGAGGAGGAGAGTTTGAAGACGACAGTCTGGGAGAAAGGTACTGCGTGAAGTTTTAGAGAGCTGAAGGCAGCAACAAAAAGAGTGGGCGATGGGGAATGGGCGAATGGCCCGGGTAATTATGGGGACGCTCCGCCGATCGGATTGGGTGTTAAGGCTGTGGCTGTGCCCTGGCTGAGAGCCTGACAAAAATACAGAGGTACCTAGGTACCAAGTGATTCCTCGATGGCTGGGGTTACTTGGCGTTGAATATTATTACTACTATAAGCTAGAGGCAACCTAGCCATACGAGTAGAATTCATTTAGAGGATGGATAGTCACGACATCGTTGTCCTGGACGAGGAGGCGCAGACCCAAATTGACTTTGTAGATTATTGGCTGCTTGTCAGACTACTAAATCACTGAACTTGTAGAGACGTGCAGATAACAGAGGTTAAGGTAGGTAGCTACATATGAGTACCGCTATAATGAGCGCCGAGCCCTAAGAAATAATAATACGTAATAAGCATCAAAGAGTCTTCCAGTAGTTGTCCCCCGGAGCTTCTAGAATATCCACAAATTTACCACTTATCTATGGCTTCACAATCCATGTGTCTCCAATTGTCCTTCTTGCTTGCCACTTGCTCTCTGCGTCCTCCGTGACTGCATATACCCGTCAATCAACCGGCATTAAAAAGTTCCCGACTTCAGTCTGACTGTCACATGAGATGGGTCCAGAGAAGAAGAGAATGAGAAGATGTCAGTACTGTAGTATAGTACTACCTACAGATAAGATCTGAGGTAAACAAAAGACACAACAAAACCCATACAACGCACAATTTACAATTGGAGACTCTTGTCAAAGACCTACAACATCTAACTCACGATTTGATGCCTTGTTCCGCCAACCATAGTCCCCATCTACCTATGACAGGGGAGGGCCAGGATACGATGGCAACGCCTGTCTCGCAAGCTTGTGTGTTGGCGGGGCAGGATTCGCTGGAAGCCCAGGGCAGGGCTTGTTTAGTTCCCGTCTTCCCATCTGCAATGCCAACGCATCAGTTGGCCTGTGTGTGGTCAGTGGCCACTGTTCGACCTCTTCAGTGACAGCCCATAAATAAGTTGGCTGGGTGTCGTTATCTCGACGCGTCTTCAAATTTTCTTCTAGCAAAGTCACCTACGGCTCTCAGAAAAACTGCCGAGTAGCGTGACCGTTCGGGGATAATTGATTTTGCGCTTTTGCAGCACAGCTATATCCTCTCTTATGGACCTTCTCTGGCCTTTTACTGCTTTGATTAGGTTCTTGATGGCTCATGGAATCAAATCAAAATAGCAGCAGAGGGCTAGCTGATTGTCAGCTGATCTGATGCCCCCTCCCTGCTAGATAAAACAGATATCCTTGGTGATGATACAAAAAAATGGCTTGATATCATTTCGACAATAGGTGGGAACATACTTGTCGCAAAGGACTCCAAAACCGCGCCAAGAAAAAGGTCAATCGCTCCATTCATGTGCCTGGATCACATCATCAAGGTCATTAAAACTGAGGCGGCGAGCCGATATTATGAGAATCTACAATTGTTTGTGTGGAAGACGAGGATAAGGCGAAAGGTGATAATGAGAGTCTTTGTTGTTAGGCCGTCACTGCAGGCTGCATCCCGCATATATCTCATCTGCTTGCTCTGGCGATCAACCAGTGCAAGACGGCGTCGAGGTTTGTCTCCTCCTTGGCACTGATTCCATAGCAGCTCACCTCACGGCGCGTGATGGATTTGAGATCCATAGCGTCTATAAGTTCGTCAACCGACAGTTTGTCCGGAAGGTCGGACTTGTTTCCCAGAACCAACAGAGGAATGCCGTCAAGCGAAGGTTTTTCCATCAGCTCGTGAAGCTCCTCTGTGGCGACTGGCAGGGCGGCACGATCGGCCGCGTCCACTATATACCTGCATCAAGGGTTAACCATGGCTGGCTTGGAGTCAACGAATGAACCTTGACACTTACACAATCGCATTAACCCCTCGGCAGTATCGCTCCCACATTGGTCGAAACCGCGGCTGGCCCCCAAGATCCCAGCTGTGTCAAGATTAGCTGGACGAAAGCGACACCCGGAGCACTCTCGGACACTGACCACTTTAGAGTCACATGGCCTTTCTGGACCCGTTTCGTGTTGAATCCGATCGTTGGAATCGAGCTGTAAAGGCGTGGTTTAGCAACCCAAGACACAGAAGCCCAGTAATGGCCAGGCCGCGTCCTACGCGCTTCAGACTTACTCTACAGTGAACTCTCCTCCCTGTCGAACTCGAACACTCCGCATTAGCAATGCCGAATAGAAGAGAAGGAAACTGTCTGGTCGCTTAAAATTGAAATAAAGGCATACCGCAAGCACCCGCAACAGCGACGATTTCCCCGCATTCTGCAGTCCGATCATCGTGACATCCATCTCCGTCGCCCTACATTCGCAACATACATTTACCCCTCTTAGCAAGCCGGAGCATTCAATGTCTTTGCGGGGGCCGGACCGGGAGAGCTATCGCCGACAGGGCGAATACTTTTGAAACCGCGGCCCACTTACCAAAACATCCTTAGGAGCCAGTCATAGATCGTCCGAAAGATACCCGCCATATTGCGGATACTTCAAATCACTTCTTCTACTTCCGGTAGAGGTCAGGAACCAAGAAACCGAATCAGTTGCGGTCAAGATCAGATTGAAAACAAGATGCTTGCTGGAATGGTGACAAATGACGAATGGACGTGGATATAAGTCGAGATCCAAGGTCCTGGAGACTTGGATCGAAGCGCGGGAAGTGGGGGTAGGCTGAAAGTCAGCCTCTTGGTTGTTTGGTATATTTGGTAGCCAGCTACCGCAGGGATGGTGTAGATGGGCTAAACCGCAGTCGAAGAAGTTAAGGCAAAAGTAAAATCAAATAGTAAATGCCCGGGAGCAATAGAGAAAGCGGCTTGTGGAGAGACGCCCAGAAGGTTCGGGAGGATGAGGACACAAGGTCGAGCAAGTTCTGTGAAGGGACAAGATTCTGCTAGAGAATAGAGCGCCAAAAGGAGCGGTAAGTCTTCCAGTAAATTTGTAGTTACAAGCCTCAAGGAGATGAAGGTTAAAAAAGAAAAAGGGAAATCCTTCTTTACTTTGCGTTGTGGTAAAACTGAATTGCTTGGGATCTATGTGCACGCATGACCGATTCCCTCTGCGCCGCGGTGGAGGGGAGCGCTTAGCTTAGTAGCTCGGTCAGGTCAATGAGACAATAATTTGAAATGGACAGGAGCAGCAACGTTGACAGGGTTTAAATCCGATATTGAACACGATTTTACCCCTGATAGTCATTTAGGCAGGTGACTTGTCGTACTTAAGTCATTCATTGTGTTGTACTTGAGCCATCAATCAAGCCTCCTTGTTATTGTGACATGGGAAGTCTTTCTTGCTCTGTCTCCAGGAAAAAGCTGCCTTATTGCCTCAGGCGGCATCTGCTCTGCAGGGTGATCCTTGTGACGCATGGCAACCTTGATGCCTAAGGCAGAAAGGCACTAATGCGCACATCCTTTATCAGTATCAGCACGTGATGATATGTGTCCGTTGGTCCACCTCAAAAAATTTCCAGCATGAACGAGGTCTTCGACAGATTGTTCCGATCGACCTCTGCGACGCTCTGTCCCATACATTCCCTCGAGTCCAGTCTACGTCAGATTTTAAGACGCTTCTCTGGGTGAGGAATGGGACGTTGAGTGTTCATATTGCACCAATTCTTTTTCATTGGTGCACACATCCGGACTAGCGCCGTGCAGTTGAAAATCTTCTGTCGATTCCTCCTCACGGGTATAGTCAAGACAAGCAGAGAAGGAGGCACGGAGTGCCCGAATTTTCTCAAAGATGGCTCCTTCAGCGACTGATACCAGTTGGTCCGTCGATTTTGACACCATCCGGCGGCACCAGCTTTTCAAGAATCCCCCGAAGGACCACACGGCATTTCCCTCGTTGTCGGCTGCCATTCGGCCACACCTTGACTCTTTCAACGCGCTTTTCGAGGGCAGCAAGGTCCTCGAAGCAGGTTTGAAAGATATCGGCATCAAGACGTTTTTGGATGGTGATGCTGAGACCCCCGAGGAGAAGAGAGCACGGAAAGCGGAGGGACGACGACCCCGAAACGCAACAGGCTTAATGTTCGAATCAGGGAAATCTTCCTTGAGAAACCGGCCATTCCCGCAACAAATAAATTCGCCACTCGTAACCGAAATATCTACCCTTCAGAAGCCAGAGAGAGACATGCTACATACCGTGGGAAGCTGCGCGCGAGGCTCGAGTATCAGGTTAATAATGGAGACTGGATGGAGTCTATCAGAGAACTTGGCCAGGTGCCTATCATGCTGAGGGTAAGTGGTTGAAATAATAGATGTCTTAAGTGCTTTTCGCACACTAACAGCATCGAAACCTAGACCAATCGATGCCACCTGGAGAAGGCGACTCCCCAGGAGCTTGTCCAGCACAAAGAAGAGTCGGAGGAGCTGGGAGGCTACTTTATCGTCAATGGTAACGAGAAGCTCATCCGTATGTTGGTTGTCGGCAAGAGAAACTACCCCATGGCAATTGTCCGTGGTTCCTTCGTTCGTCGTGGTCACACCTACACCAAGTTCGGTATCCAAATACGATCAGTGCGCCCTGATCAGACATCGCAGACGAATGTCCTTCACTACCTCAGCGATGGAAACGTGACCTTCCGATTCTCTTGGCGGAAAAACGAGTACCTCATCCCCGTTATGATGATCTTGAAGGCTTTGGTCGAAACGAACGATCGCGAAATATTCGAAGGCATTGTCGGCAGCGCTACGTCCAAGGGTGTCAACAATACATTTGTGACGGACCGTGTGGAACTGCTGCTCAGAACATACAAAGCCTACAACCTACATACCCGTTCCTCCTGCCGAGCTTATCTGGGCGAGAAGTTCAAGCCCGTTCTTGGTGTTCCGGCAGATATGTCCAACGAAGATGCTGGTACAGAGTTTCTCCGCAAAATTGTCTTGCCTCATCTCGGTAACCAGAATGTCACCGAGACCCAAGACTATGACAAATTCAAGTTGATCATGTTCATGATCCGGAAGCTGTACGCGCTTGTTGCTGGAGATTGTGCCCCCGACAACCCGGATGCCGTTTCCAACCAAGAAATCCTGCTCGGCGGTTTCCTCTACGGCATGATTCTCAAGGAACAACTTGAGGAATGGATGAGATCTTTTGGCCCTATCCTGAGGGATTGGTCCAATCGCAACGGCGGTGCAAAATTCACTGATCCAGCTTTCGAAAGAGATTTCTTGAGCAAGATTGTCAAGAGAACCAACGAGAACATCGGTGGTAAGCTGGAGTATTTCCTGTCGACTGGTAACCTCGTCAGTCCCACGGGTCTTGATTTACAACAGGTGTCTGGTTACACTGTCATGGCGGAAAAGATCAACTTCTACCGATTCATCAGTCACTTCCGAATGATTCACAGAGGTAGTTTCTTCGCACAGCTGAAAACAACTACTGTTCGTAAACTGCTTCCCGAGAGCTGGGGCTTCCTTTGCCCGGTTCACACTCCTGATGGAGCACCCTGTGGGTTGCTAAACCATCTTGCTCACAAGTGCTTGATCGCCACAAGCGATGTCAACGTCTCTCATCTCCCAAAGCTGTTGGTGCAGCTTGGTGTACGATCTGAATCGTCCGTTGCCTTGGAAGACAGCGTTACGGTGCAGCTGGATGGCAGAATCGTTGGATACTGCTCACCCAAGCAGGCCCGTATGATTGCGGATACCGTTCGGCACTGGAAGGTCTCGGGTACACACAACATCCCACGAGAATTAGAGATCGGTTATGTTCCCAACTCGAATGGTGGCCAATATCCTGGTGTCTACATGTTCTCTCAAGCCGCCAGAATGTACAGACCTGTCAAGTACCTACCTCTCGACAAGCTTGACTACGTCGGTCCCTTCGAACAGCCGTTCATGGAGATTGCATGCTTACCCGACGATCTTGTGGCGGGCGTGTCCACGCACATTGAGTTCACACCGACGAACATCCTATCCATCGTCGCAAATATGACACCTTTCTCCGACTATAACCAGTCGCCCCGTAACATGTACCAGTGCCAGATGAGCAAGCAGACGATGGGTACACCCGGCACAGCGATCGAATACCGTACGGACAACAAGCTGTACAGATTGCAAACCGGTCAGACGCCTATTGTACGACCTCCGCTGTACAACGCATATGGATTGGACAACTTCCCGAACGGCACGAACGCGGTCGTGGCAATTATCTCGTATACAGGTTACGACATGGATGACGCCATGATTATCAACAAGTCGTCGCACGAGCGTGGCTTCGGCTACGGTACTATTTATAAGACCAAGGTTCACTCTCTTGACGACAAGGACTCGCGGCGCAGCAAGTCCAGACGCGAGATTACCAAGCTCTTTGGTTTCGCTCCCGGCGGAGAGATTCGGGCAGAGTGGCGTACTACTCTCGACGAGGACGGTCTCCCCCATGTGGGTGCCAGAGTCAAGGAGGGAAGTCTGATTGCTGCATGGCATACTGTGCGCTATGATGCTGCTTCTGACTCTTACGTGAACGTTGACGGCATCACGCACTTCGTCAAGTACAAAGACGCAGAAGAAGGATACATTGACAGCATCCGGATCATGGGTGCCGAGACTGGTCTGGAGCCGTGCCAGGCACTCAGCGTCAAGTACCGTATCCCCAGAAAGCCTGTCATCGGTGACAAATTCTCTTCTCGTCACGGACAGAAGGGTGTCTGCTCTCAGCTCTGGCCTGCGGTTGACATGCCGTTCTCCGAGAGCGGTATCCAGCCAGATCTGATCATTAACCCGCACGCTTTCCCTTCTCGTAAGTTCATCTTTCGGGCTCTTTTCAATTGCATTCAAGCGACATGAGACTAAATTTCATTGCAGGTATGACTATCGCTCAAATGATCGAATCCATGGCCGGCAAGGCCGGAGCTCTTCACGGCCATCCCCAAGACTCCACCCCCTTCCAATTCTCGGAAGAAAACACCGCGGCAGATTACTTCGGCCAGCAGCTGCGCAAGGCCGGCTACAACTACTACGGCAACGAGCCCCTTTACAGTGGTATCACGGGCAAGGAATTCGCCGCCGACATCTTCATCGGCGTGGTCCACTACCAGCGTCTCCGACACATGGTCAACGACAAGTTCCAGGTCCGGACAACCGGTCCCGTCAACCAGCTGACCGGCCAGCCCGTCAAGGGTCGTGCCAAGGGAGGCGGTATCCGTGTCGGAGAGATGGAGCGCGACTCGCTCATCGCCCACGGCGCCGCCTTCATCCTCCAGGACCGTCTGATGAACTGCTCCGACTCCCAGCGCGCCTGGATCTGCCGCGACTGCGGCTCCTTCCTCTCCACCCAGGTCGCCGTCTCATCCGCCGGTTCCAACAAGGCCCGTCTGGCCGCTTCCGCCGCGGCGGCCGCCAAGAACGCCTTCGCCCAGCAGAGCGGTGCACCGGGCATTGTGCGCTGCCGACGCTGCGCCCGCGAAGCTGTCTTCGAGGACTCCCGTGCCGTGGTGTGGGAGGATGGAGACGGCCGTCGCTACGTGGGCGGTGACAATGTCACCATCGTCGCTGTGCCTGGTGTCCTGCGCTACCTTGACGTGGAACTCGCCGCGATGGGTATCAGAATGAAGTTCTGGGTTGACAATTAAGTGGGAAGAATAAAGGATGCATATACTCCACGAGATACGCTGAGCTCAGTGAAAAAGCATGTGTATAGAGCGCTTGAGCATTGTTTTGTCTTTTTGTCGCCTTAGGGTGTTTGTATTAATGTGGGATACAATCTAGAGCTTTTGTTTTTGTTCTGCTCTGTCTTGATCTTTATATCAAGACGTTTAAAGATACGAGATGCGGCCTTTCGTCTATTGTATTCTAGATTTCATTCCATCGACTGTTTGCCTATATCGTACTACCAGGTAGATTTCAATGGCGGCAACCGCAAGTCGAAAAGTTTTCAATGCGTAGAGGAAAAGGAATTACGAGATAATCATCATATCGACCACAGGAATTATCAGAATCGTGCCCTTAAAGGGCCGACGTAACGTTCGAGAATTCGCCCTTTTCCAGCTTCGTCTTCCAGAAAATGGGATTCATATCGTCGAAACCGTGGTGGACCCAGCCTTCCTCCTTGACATGGTACAAGTTGATGAAACCACCAGAGTAAGCATCACGGTGCATGGCGGCAAGAATGCTCCGACGACCAAGCTCGAGGGCTTCCTCTTCAGTTAAGTCGTAGCGGTACTCGGCGTCAAGCACACCGTAAGCGAAGGTCTGACCGGATCCAACACAGAACAGGTTTCCAGGAAGTCTCGTGCCGTCCGAGTCGATGTAGTAGAGGGCTGGTCCTTCTTGAGGCGTCATCTGCGGTGTTATCAGCTTCACACATCATCCCATTTCCAAATGAAGGGATCGAAACGTACGCCTGCCAACATTGTACCCATGCTGAGACCCATTCCCTTGTAAGCGTATGTCAGATTGGCGAGAATCTTCGATGCCGCCGCAACGGTGATACGACGCTTGTGCCGGATCTCTGCTACGACGTTAACACAACACTCTTGCCAGAGATACGTCCAGACTCACCATGAAGTGTGCATTGCTGACTCAGATATCTCAGCCAGTATTGGCAATCCTGAAGGGCGGTTCTGTCAGCGTCGCCGTGCCACCAGGACGCAAAAGAATGCATACCGCAGCACCACCAGCCATGGTACCCAGTAGACCAGGGACCGGAGCATCCTGCTTCTTGTCGTCACCCCGACTCAACCGCGACACGGGAATGACCTTCTTGACCGTCTGACTGGCGATCCAGTTTCCAGCGGTAGCTCTCGAATCCGTCGCGACGATCTAAGAGACAACGAGTCAGCCAGACTGCTACAATGCTGGCCCCGGCGGACGGGGAGTAGACGGCATACAATTCCGCCCTGAAATCGGAAGGCGAGTGTTGTTGTTCCGTGAGCGAGCTTAATGGGACAGCTAGGATTCGAGTGGTCGTCGGTCATGGCACGAAGGAATGCGGAGGACTAAATGCGAACAAGAACAAGATATACATATTAGCTGATAGCTTCTCCGAAGTGCGATCAGTGCAGGATCCGCTCAGTGAAACCGCTCTGCCATAGAGCATTCTCACAGGTCCGAGAGTCCAGACAGGTGGAGTGTTTTCAAATTGTAGCTCACATTTGCAACTGGAGGAAGAGCGAACTTCAGAGAAAGAGGAGGGAGGCTCTCTGTCAGGTCTTGCTGTTCTTGCTCCGAGTAGAACTCATTCTGGTGACGTGGACGCGAGTACTGGGCGACTAATTTATCCATGATTGAAACCGACTCTTCTAGGTTCCAGTAGTAAGAAGACAAGAAAAAAGCTAATCGAAGTGATAATACACAGAGACGATGGTGGAAGTGGATGGATGAAATGGGAAGCAATTGCAGCTCTGGCTGAGAGCTCTATTGAAGCTCCGACATCCGCGTCACTTGCTGCCGCCTGCGTCACGTGACATTACAGCAATCGACTCTCAGGATAGGATACTTTCACGACTTTTGATAGTGCATATACACAGAGTATATTGACTTTTATGAAATTCTGTAAAAATAGTTCTTTTGTTAGAAATCATTTACCACGGCAGCAGACCTGAAAGTTTCCTATAGACTCCGACTAAATCCATATACCCATGACCATCCCATCCAATATCAAATCATGTTACAAAGTAAAAACTGGCGAACTAGGACACTACCCTGAAAGAGTACCTATCTGCTTTCTTCTGGTTTCTTAGTACGGAACAGCAACGGGCTGCGTTCCGGTAGCGCCTGAGACCTGTTGCTCATCCGACTTTTCGCGTGTGGCGCCGTCGGTGCCAGTCTCGTTGACATTACCAGCGGCCCCAGTTGAACCAGACCCGGCAGCTTCCTGGCCTCTACCTGCTCCAGCGGGCAGTAGAGTCGTGCCAGGGGTCTCTCCCGCAGAGGTATGGATGGGTTCGACGGTGCTCTCCCAAGACTTTAGGTCATTCTCGGCAGCCTCAAGGATCTGCCTTGCTTCATCGGCATGCTCATAGGGCTGTCGTGTGTCACCAGGGACGACTGGGGTGTCGTCGAGGTAGTTGAGGAGACGGCGAGCATGACGCGCAAGCAGAATCTGCTTCTCTCCGCGCTCAATGACTGCAGCCAAATGAATATCAAAAGCCTCCTTGAGCTTCTGTCTGGTCTATCGGCCGAATCTTAGCCCCATGCGCTCTATCAGGTACACTCGCGGGGCCATACGTACCACATTGGTCAATTGAGCCTCAGCAACCAGATTATTTGCCTCGGCCCGCACCAACTCCTGCTCCAGAACTTCCACCTTGGCATTACTCTGCTCCCCCTTCAGCTTAAGCCGCTGAATGTCATCCGCGATCTTCGCCCTGTGATCGCGCGACGGCTGCACCGAGCTCTCCGTATCCCGGATCTGCTTCAAGATACTCCGGTAATCCTCCAGGCTCTGCGCGAAGTTATCCTCCTGCTCGCCGATCTCCGCCATCAGCACACCGAGCTTGTCGGAAATGTCAGAGACGGCGTCATCCTCGGTGCCTTCGCCCCATTCGGAGAGCTGGGCGGCGATGTTGAGGCGCTCGCGGCCGGCTGCCTCGTGGGCTGAGATGGCCGAGTTCTCTTGCTTGACGATGCGGCTCATCTTCTTGCTCAGCTCGGGCGCCTGCAGACCGCGGAAGGTGGACATGCTGAAGCGGTGGCGGGCTGGTTCCTTCTTTCGGATGGAAAGATTTCGGTTCCTGGTACAGTTAGCCACGTAGAGGATAGGATATTTTTTTGACAGCTCATACATCATGGCGACGTCCGTTGAGATATACTTATTCACCAAAGCTGTACAATCAGCTTATTGGGCGGGGCAATCCGTAGCTGTTACTGAATAGAACCAAGCAGGAATGCGCCTTCCTTGAAGTGCAGTTGCGACACAGTATTGCTATACAACCGAGAGGAACAGGCCGTTCTCCTATCGACTCTGTCACTTCAGATCAGATGTACGTTGACACAAGACAAGATAGATGGATATCCTTTGGAGATGACGAACGGGTGTTCATCTTAACTGATGGCGCAGTTGATCGTACATGACGTCATGCGGGATGAGCGGACGCTGAAGTCATGACCCGAATGCAGTTCGGTGTCGAGATGTTTCATGATATGTGCGATTGATTCTAATGGATGATTTAGAGTTGAGTTCAAGCATTGGAGCCGTGGGAAGTGTCGCGTTTTGGCGTTGGGTTGTGATGCTTTTCGAGCCAGGTGCCCTAGTCTCATAGTCTATCTACGGAGTGGGTTCTTGAAGATCATTACGGGAGCATAATCCTTCTACTATCTTGGAACACGCAACGATCATCTCTACCAATCAAAAGACAAGTACGCCATCTAAACTCGATAGCTTGTATAGCTAAGTATGATTCTCCCGTCTTACAAGGCTCAAATCATCATCCCCTCCCTGAGACATATCTCACCTCCTCCTCCCATACTCTCCCCGGATGGTGCAAACGCGATCGTCCCCAGCCGCCAGGCTCAACATATCTCACAGATCTATACACCGGAGACGGCGAACAAGGCGGACTATCAAAGAACCTTCTCCTGAAAGGAATAATGGACTCAGACCGCGTGCGCACTCTCATTCTCTGCACAGTTGTATAAGATGGTTCGGGTTCTGGTGATTTTGAACGCGCATACCAGGAGTGGTGGTGGTGTTGGTGACGATGATGCGAAGGACGCGGCGCAATGACAACGGTAGTATCATCGCTACTGCTGCTGCTGCTGCTGCTGCTACTATGATGGCTCGAGCTGCTGCTGCTTGAGCCGGAACTGGAACTGGAACTGGAGCTGCCACTGCTACTACCGCTACTGCAGCTGCTTCTGCGGCGACGAGGACCTGGAATCGAGACGCGCAGTGTCCCGGGGCGGTATTCGACGACTCGCACGCTGGGGCCGGGTCCGTCGTCAACTTCGAGAAAGCACATGTCGACTCTGTCAGTTGGATTATGATGACTGCTCGTAGACGAGGAGCGCCCTCTGCTTGGGACCCTGGACTGATGCGCAAGCGACGCCAACTGAGAGAATATAGCAGGCGATGCACCCTCGTACGGCAAGCAGATATAAAGTAGTAGATCTGAAACGGTCACGATGAAGTACTGCGATCGGCTTTGGCCGAATAGCAGCTGTAAGGATTCAAAAGACGACAGGATTATGGAAGCTCACGGTATTGTCAAAGAACCATACTGTGTGTATGCGACAATGGCATAGCAGTATATTCTACCCCAAGACTTACTTGAGCAATCTGTCATTAAATGAATATCCCACTACCGTCCAGTCATGCGGATCTTCCCGCCTTGTGATTCATCCTCATACCTCAGAGTGAGCGTTGCAATTATGTTCATCCAGTGACGCCGTCATGTGCGCGGGACAACTGATAGAGGAGGCACACCACAACATCGGACTCTTAATACATTGTAGACCTTATGTGAACCAAACCCTGGAGTAAAGCGTAGAGTATAGTATAAGATAGATCGATGCCAGAGTGCAGAACGGCGGCCTTGATACAGGCCGTCACGAATCGATTGTGTGTGTCTCCTATCTAGATCGCACAACACATGTTCTTTTCCTTGGAAGAGTGGGCAGCAGAAGGCGACAAAAAAGTATCAACCAGCGCCCACCATAAAATAGAACCATCCAACACCCGTTGATAAAGCCTACATCCAAACAAGAAAAATATGCGACCACCTCCGGGCCCGTTTATGACATGTCATCTGCATCATGGTGGTGGGTATGTTCATTATCTGATGCGTGAAAGGCATCCCCAAATGCCGAGTTGTCCAGATCAGGGAGATCCAGACCCTCGTTCTGCTCCGTGTATGCTGCCAGCGCGTCTCCGGCACTGTCCATGTTGGTGAAGTCGAAATTCGCGCTGTCAAGACCGGTGTCGCCCGCGCTTCCAGGGCCAGGAGTTAGTCCTTGTAATCCGCTTCCCGGCGTTTCACCCGCTTGCAAGTCGCCAGGCGGTCTATTGATATTGTCATCCTTCTTGTCCTCGTTCACCATTACCCAGTCGCCAGTTTCTCCAACGGCGGTATTCGTGGGTTGCCCATCTCCCATGTCCATTTCGGCATCCAAAGACGCGGTGGGTTGAGCAGGTGCCGCTCCAGTGGCCGTTGGCGCCGCTTGTCCCTGAGCTGCGGGAGCTGCCTCTTGGGCAGGCGCGCCGAACTGACCGAGGTGATGACTGTCCGTATGGCCCATGTCGACATCAACATCAGCTGCAGTCGAAACAGGTTCGGGTTCAATCTTTTCCAGCAAGCCACCCTTTTGTACGCAGGAAACCTTGGGTTCCGGTACGATTTTTCTGCGCCACGAGGCTTCAACTTCTCGGACGATGTCATCAACCTTGTACTTGGCCTTGTGTTCAACGGGAACGACCTCAGCTCCATCCCCTTCGGTCGGCATCTCAGTGCGACCTTCCATCCGCCAAATCTCCGTCCCGGTGTCTTCGGGGTTCGCTGCCGCATCCCGAAGTCGGAGCTCAGCATCCTTGAGTAGAGAGGTGCGATTGAACTTTTCCATCCTTCGGGCATGCCGCTTCTTAAGCTTCTCAATTTCTGCAGTCATGTCGGCGACCTTTTTGGCAACCCGGTCGGCAAACTCCTTTGCCTTTTCGGGCTCCATCTTCGTCGCTTGAGTAGACTCAGTGCCTTCTTTCGAATCGCCACCTGCAGGCCCAACCGGAGCATCGAAAAAGCCTGCAGTCAGAGTCTCCAGCTCGCCTTTGCGACCGAGTCCCAAAGAAACAGGCGTAATCTGACTGATCGCATATGGCGAGGCGAAGATCTCTTCCATCCACTCGTGGTGTTGCTGATATCTCATTTTGCTGACTTCCCGAGGAGTCAACAAATCCATCATGTCGCCCGTGGAAACGTCTTCATCTTCGAGTGCGAAATCAGCTGCTGCGGCGGTCATCGCCGCAGTTGAGGCGCGATGTCCACGGGGTGCCTTGGCCGGAGCTGCAGCGGCCGGCGCTGGCACAGGCTGGCCGGGCTGGGGATAGAACGGCTGGCGGCCAACCATGGCATTGGGATATGGCCCCGCCGGTTGGGCAAGTGCTTGCGGCGCTATCTGTGGAGGAAAGTTGATGGTGGGCCAGTTGTTCCGATCATGAAGCATAAAGTCTTTGCGCGCCAGTTGACCCTGGCTTTGGAGGAAACGACGTTGAGCCAGCATATTTTGCACTTGCGGGGAGACTGGAATCCGGTTCGCTGGAATATGTTCCGTAGGAGGCGCTCTGGAGTAATGCACAATCCATAGTGACGGGTCCGGCGGGGGAAGGCTAGGGTTGGGGACTTTCGTGGGCAACAGCCGGTAGCGTCTGCGACAGTGGATGGCCACAGACTCATTGGGAGGGTGGTAACCACTGCGATGGAGCCACATCTCCACCATCTGTCACGGACAGGCATCAGCATACAAAATCAGAGAATCGGAGATGCATAGGACAAGCGCCATACGTATCCACGAGCTTCAAAGGTAAAGGCCTGTTCCACGTCGGCCCAGACGTAACCATCACTGGCGAAGTTTGTTCCCAGGTGGTTAAGAGGCTGCCATGTGAGCATCACCGTTCCATCCTGAGGTCCATCTAAAAAGGTCCAGTGCATCGGTTGAGCTTCGCGAACGATCTTGGGCGCGGACAGGAGGTATTCGACGACGGTGTCTGTCGGCATCATATGCATCAAAGGGTACCGATGGCGCGACACCAGATGCATGTGCGGCAGCTATGACAATCAAATCCACTAAGTTAGCAATGCTGCCCTCGAACAACGATGCAATGAATCGTCCCAAAATCCTAGAGGAGCGACTCACCAACTGCGCCGGGACGCGGCTCGCTGGGTCGTCCATTGTGACTAAATGTCGACGGACAATCGTAAATCAGGTGTCACTGCGGTCGCAGAAATGACAATATTCAGTCTATCTAGCGGAACAAAATATGGAGGGTGGACTAGGGCACCTCCAAGGCGTAGTAATTGGAGGCGAGGACAATTAGATGAATGCTAGTTAGCTATCAACGCGACGCGGGAAAATTGAAGTTCCAGAAAGACACCGGGTGCGGTTGGCGGGAGAAACCCATAGCGCAGTTGTGACACCCTATTGGTAAGGCATCAAATTCAGGCACGCCAAGCATCGGGGATGATCCGAGCGCTTCGATCATGATGAAGATGAACAGAGGCTGGGGAGATGGGAAAGCTGTAAGGAATCAAGGACAATACGGAGTGAAGACGTTGAAATGTGGTCTAGTCATCCCTGTAACTATAAATGTCTAACTTCCTCTCCAGCCTTCTCGACATGAGATATTGACTTGTCCAGCTCGCCAGTTCAAGAACGGCTGGAGGGAGCTGAATAGAGCTTAGGAACAAGCTTTCTCTCGACCCGCCACTTGTATCTCCGCACTCTAAGCCTAGAAATGGTAGTGCAAAGTTCTCTTCCATGGCTGGGTCTATCTAACTGAGATCGATGTGGAGCACAGGTGCTACTCTCGGATAATTATGATATCTCAATTATGTATGAATCCACTTTTCCTCAAAGTGTTGGCCACTGCACATGGGGTCACACTTCCTTCTCCCCCCTCACCGAACCTCAGTCATTCTGGGCCACAGGAGGATCGCAGTCCTGGTCCTAAACGCTGCAGATCACTCAATAGATCGGAGCATTTTCCCACCTGTATTGCCGACGTTACTGCGTTACTCGGCTGTTAAAAAGCGCATCATGTCCTCGTTCTCCTACAGTTCTCCCAATGTCTTTCGATTATTGTCGTCAACTCTTTTGCACTCATAGCGGATACCCTTCATTTTAAGCATCACTTTCGGCCATGCAGCTCCCCGAGGATAATGATACTCCTAAGAATCAAATGAAAGACGATATTGACCAAGCCCCCGACGTTGACACGGAGAAACAGAACGCGGTCCATCCGGATGAAGACAACAACACAGCACTGCCCTCGATGCCTGCATCGGCCATCACTATAGACCCGGCTATCGAGCGCCGGGTTCTGAGAAAATTGGATCTAAGGGTTCCAACCCTTCTGGGGTTCTTGTGTGAGTCCTCCCCCGCCTTGTCGACTCTAAATGTTGTTTCTAACAAGAACATTGAGCCTAGATCTTTTGGGGCTACTCGATCGCTCTAACATAGGTTTGTTTTTTGTCTGGAGTGGAACAAGATTTCCATCTGACTATATACAGGCAATGCATACATAGCTGGGATGAAACAAGATTTGCATCTGAGTGGACATCGCTATTCTTGGCTTCTGACGATCTTCTACATCGCGTACACGCTGTTCGAGTTTCTAGCCTTGATGTGGAAGATTCTACCACCTCATCGCTGGGCAGCGATCACTGTGATGAGCTGGTAAGTGTCACATGATGACCCGGTTCTGTGTGCGACCACCCTCCTAAATGTTTCAGGGGCATTGTTGCGACTTGTCAAGCTGCGGCACAGAATTGGGGGGGAATGATGGCCCTCCGTTTTCTTCTTGGAGTGTCTGAAGCCGCGTTCGGACCTGGCACACCATACCTGTTGTCTTTCTTCTATCGCCGTCACGAACTCGGTCTACGTATCGGGCTGTTCTTCTCTGCTGCGCCTCTGGCCAATACATTTGCAGGCGCCCTGGCATATGGAATCACGTCTGGCCATTCCAAGTTGGCCAATTGGCGATTACTGTTCCTAGTGGAAGGGCACCCTCTATACTTGCTGCTTTTCTTGCCTGGTTTTACCTGCCAGATCACCCAGCGTCTGCCCGTTTCCTGACTGATGAAGAAAAAGAGGTTGCACGAGCAAGAGGGCTCCGGAAGAGCGGTGAGGGCGAGCGTGTAGCAGGCATTGACTGGAAGGATGTTGGTCGTACCCTGTTGGATGTTAAAGCCTGGATCACGGCGGTAGGTTGTGCTCTCTCTTGATTCTCGATCAAGTTGTACTGATACGGAATTACAGTTGATGTACTTCAGCTGCAACGTGAGCTTTTCTTCGCTCCCTGTGTTCCTTCCCAAGATCCTCAAAGACATGGGCTTCACGTCGATCAACGCCCAGGGGCTCACAGCACCGCCATACTTCGCTTCGTTCCTTGTTACAATTGCCACAACTTGGTTGGCCGATCGACTGCAACAGCGAGGGCTGATGATTACCTTGTTGTCGCTCATTGGGGCTATTGGATATGTGCTGCTCGCCACATGCACCTCAGTTGGGGTCCGTTATCTTGGTGTGTTTCTGGCAGCAGTGGGAGTCTTCCCCTCTATCGCTAATATACTTCCCTGGGTATTGAGTACGTCATCATTATTCTCATATCGTCTGATCAGAGGTTAATCAATCATCTAGATAATCAAGGATCCGACACCCGACGAGGTATGGGGATTGTAATTCTCAACCTGGTCGGACAATGTGGCCCTTTTCTGGGCACCAATATCTTCCCCGAAAGAGACGCGCCTCGATACGTTCGAGGGCAATCAGTTTGCGCCGCTTTTATGATATTTGTGACTGTACTAGCACTCACCTTACGGTGTCTTTTGGTTTGGGAAAACAAACGCTTGGATCAGAAATATGGTACCAAGAACGAGGAATCTGCCGAAGGAGGATCCAATGGAGACGATGATGGCGTGGCAGAGGAGAATTATGGGTCTAGATTCCGCTATGTCCTATGAGATATTATGATGACGGCTTTCTTGATTAGAAATGATATCTGATATATAAATGCGGGAGGGGCTGTGATATGCAGCCAAGCTGGATTGTTGGCACGATATAAGAATATGATTGGAAACAAAGTCGTCTTATGTTTAGACTTGATGACAGATCCTAAATCTATTTATCCTGGTTCTTCTCGAGATTATAATGTTACAGGACGCTCCGAATATGGCTGCATCGCTGCCAGTGATAGTAACTCCTTGCGTGTGTTTTCTTGGTGGGGCCAGGCTATCTTCGATTGACTTTCGCATCGTCCTGACTGTCCATCGCATCTCCAAAGTCAATTCTTAACAACTGTTCTACAGTGAGAGGCAGAGTTTGCACCGTATCCAGCTCCTCTTTTGTGGGTTTAAGGAGTTTCATCTTCTTGACTGGAAGGTCGCTCTGGCCGCTCCTTTATCGCCATAAAACGCTTGAGCGTACCGACTTCTGGATACCAACAAATAATTTCATATTCGGTCTGAGATTTGCGCGGTCAACATGAGTATAGAGTCAAAAAAGGATACGGCCAACCTGTATGGCCTGGTGGACATGGGAAGGTAAGCTAAAAGCACTGAAACTCTCCCGTTACTCCTGCGGCCAGATCATCAGCTATCTTCACTTTCAGCAACCTGACCAGAAAACAGCAATGGAATTCGATTCTCCATCACCGACGTTTCCTCGCCCACAGCCCGGCTCCTGCCGACAATCTACCAAGACCGGGTGGGGATCTCGCTCTACGAGGCCCAATTCTCGCAGACGGAGAACGGGAAGAGGGTGCGGGGGCCCATCTCGCAAGAGATCATCGAGCAGGTTGTAGACCGACTCGTGCGGTTCAAAATCACCTGCGATGACTTTTGCGTGCCCCCGGACAACATTCACGTGCTCGCTACAGAGGCCACACGCACCGCACCCAACTCTGACGAGATCCGGGCGCAGATCAAGGCCCGCACGGGCTGGGAGGTACGCATGCTCTCCAAAGAGGAGGAGGGGCGTATCGGAGCGTTGGGGATTGCGAGTAGTTCGCATTCTGTCGCCGGACTTGCAATGGATCTTGGCGGCGGGAGTACGCAGATTACCTGGGTTGTGGAAGAGGATGGGGTAGTGACCACGAGTCCCCTAGGTTCATTTAGTTTCCCGTACGGGGCAGCAGCGTTGAAGCAGCGCTGGGAAGAGGCGAGGAGGCAAGGCGGGGATGCCGAGGCAAAGTTGAAGGAGGAGATGACGAGGAATTTCCAGGATGCGTACGCGCGTCTACAGCTTCCTGAGCGTCTCGTTGAGGCTGCTAAGCGCAGTGGTACATTTGACTTGTATCTCTGTGGTGGGGGTTTAGGGGCTGGGGATACATGCTCATGAACCAGTCTAAGGTCAATCCGTACCCGATCCCGATTATCAATGGCTACAGAGCACACAGGGAGGATTTCCACGATACGGCATCCGTTCTAGAGACGGTCTCAGCTTCTGAAGTCAGCGTGTTTGGAGTATCGAAGCGGCGGGCATCACAGATCCCCGCGGTGGCTGTTTTGGTCAATGTGATCATGGACGCTCTACCTGCTATTACGCATATACAATTCTGTCAGGGAGGAGTACGTGAGGGCTTTTTATTTGATCGACTTCCACAGGAGATTCGGGCAGAGCACCCTCTTCTATCTGCGACGTCGCCATACGCGCCTCCATCTGCAAAGGCAATCAGGGACCTTCTTCTACAGGCATTGCCAACTTCTGGATCACCAAAAGCATCTTTGCAAGCACCAGAATCCTTTAGTGTTGGCTTGATAACTGCTCTTGCCAACATGCTCTACGCGCATTCTCAGGTGCACCGGGCCAGCCAGTCCGCTGCTGCGCTTCATAGCACAACCACTGGGATTCTGGCGTCAATCAACAACCTTACGCATGTTGATCGCGCTCTGCTTGCTCTGATCCTCTGCGAGCGATGGGAGGGCGACCTCCCTCCCACAGACCAGACATTCCACCACCAGCTTAGCAGATGTGTCTCGGCGCAGGAGGCATGGTGGTGTCAGTACCTTGGCCGGGTTGCCGCTCTGATCGGGGACGTGTATCCGGCAGGCCGGGTCCCGGAGACAGGCGAGAGAATTCGATTGGAGACAACTTGGACGTCTACAGTGAAGAAGAAGGAATTATGTGATACGTTGTGCCTCCGGATAATTGTCAGTGACGATGCTGCTGCTGCTACTGGGCGGCACATGCTGCAGGAACGGGCGGAGACGATTGAGAAGGCTGGGAAGAGGAAAAATTGGATCGACGAGTATGGCGTGCGAGTGGGCACTCAGATCTGCTACCAATCTCCCAGTACAGCTAGGATATAGCAAAGGAACGTTTGAATGCTACGAAGTAGTTAATCGGACCGTTGTACTCCGTTAGTCCTGCATCCTCATATCTTGTGGAGAGCGGGTCAACGGATGCACAACCACAGAACCACCTTACGTCTGAGTCTCTCGAGGGTCTCGACGATCAAGTGAGTCATCGAATCAAGTGGGTTAACACGATTGTTGACATTATGATGTCCATCCCGTCAATATGACGCCGATCTCGGTTACTTGAGAAGCTCACCGGGTAAACTGACCCATATCGATGGCGGGGATTTCCGGGAGTCGTTGGAGGGGATAGCGCATAGATTCACCAATTGGATCCTATCAAACCCAAATTTGAGTTGTGTTTGATCCGTTAATACGTCAATCCTAAATGGAACTATCCAATTGAGGGAAATGATAGAACCTTTAACCAGGGTACGATGCAGGATGTACTCCGGAGTTGTCTGGCTGCATGTAAGCTCATTACTCACACTATTTAAACTACCCTCCTGCCACCCCCCACCTTTCACCTTTTCTCTCTCTTCTACTCTTCATCACACTTCCTACCATCGTCCATCAGAAGGCTTCTATCTACAGCTATTACAAGTTCTCCTCTCTTCCCTTGGATTTTTCTCGTAGTGTGCTAACCACTTTATAGGCCAACACTATCCACTTGCAATGTAATACACACCTATGACTCGACCCTCTGGGTCGTCTTCTATCGATGGAAGCCATGGAATCACTTTGGCTGGGCTGTTCGTTCAATGATCAAGGTATCTCAGGTAAATCTTGGGCGTGGGCCGGTGTTCGTTCTCATTCGTTGGCACAACAACGTGTATCTCTTTTTGGAGCTCGTAACTCTTGACTGGAGTGCATCCGAGAGAGCCACGGTGCCAATGGGTGGGTTCGTTCTGAGATTATACGGTCAAAACTTGATCTGGATAATACCAGCGAAAGGATCATGCCTTCCCTCTGTCCTGTGTTGTCCACGTCCGTGGAATAGCTAACCAGTTACAGACTCAAAATGTCTCCCCCAGCTGCCATCTTTGAGCCCGCTGTGGCCCCATCTCCCACCATCAGGGCCAAGGTTGTGGTCCCTGAGACTGTTCCTGCCTCTGGAACCTCCCAGACTCACCTCCTTGACCATTTCGGTGGCAAGTGGGATGACTTCAAGTTCGCTCCTATCAGGGAGAGCCAGGTCTCTCGTGCTATGACCAGACGCTACTTCCAGGATCTGGACAAGTATGCCGAGAGCGACATTGTCATTGTCGGTGCTGGCTCCTGTGGTCTGAGCACTGCGTACGTGCTTGCCAAAGCTCGTCCTGACTTGAAGATTGCTATCATCGAGGCCTCGGTCTCTCCTGGTCAGTACACAATTGCACAAACCATACGCTTCGAAGCTAACTCCTCTCAGGTGGTGGTGCCTGGCTCGGAGGCCAGCTTTTCTCTGCCATGATCCTCCGCCGTCCTGCTGAGGTCTTCCTCAATGAGGTTGGCGTGCCCTACGAAGAAGACCCGGCGAACCCCAACTACGTCGTCGTCAAGCACGCCTCTCTCTTCACCTCCACCTTGATGTCCAAGGTCCTCTCCTTCCCCAACGTCAAGCTCTTCAATGCCACCGCTGTTGAGGACCTGGTCACCCGGCCCTCCGCTAGCGGTGACGCCAAGGACACCCAGATTGCCGGCGTGGTCGTCAACTGGACCCTCGTCACCCTCCACCACGACGACCACTCTTGCATGGACCCCAACACCATCAATGCGCCCCTGGTCATCAGCACGACCGGTCACGATGGCCCCTTTGGTGCCTTCTGCGCGAAGAGACTCGTGTCGATGAACACCGTTGACAAGCTCGGTGGCATGCGCGGTCTTGACATGAACTCCGCCGAGGACGCTATTGTCAAGAACACCCGTGAGGTCGCCAAGGGTCTGATCATCGGTGGAATGGAGCTGTCTGAGATCGACGGCTTCAACCGTATGGGGCCTACCTTTGGCGCCATGGTGCTCAGCGGTGTCAAGGCTGCCGAGGAGGCCCTTAAGGTCTTTGATGAGCGTCAGCGCCAGTGTGCCGAGTGAACGGCTGCTGTGAATGCTGGATGCAATGCAATTTGGTGATGGATGGATTTCCATTTCACTCTTTCATGACATGGATTGATCACGAATAGTCTCAAAAATGACACTCAATTGAACTCTTTTCCGCGTCCTCTCGTAAATTAATATATTAGTACACTTAGCGACCTCTACGGTAGGAATATATACAGTCGTAATCTTATAAGCCTAACGACCCAAGTCATGGGCTCTCCTCGATTTTGGTCGTTCCCCGAGCACCCGCTCGCTCAACGCTGCGCTTCGCATTGCGGACTTCCCACTCAAACTCCTTGAGCGCCCGCAGCTCACTCGACACGAATAACCCGCCAATCAGCCCATCCAAGATCCCCGCCCCGAAGCTCAGCGTGCTCACCAAGCACAAGATAAAGGCCACATACGGGAGATGGTCGCCGGTCCACCAGACCCCAACAAAGCAGCCGATCGAGACAACAACCGACGCCACGAAATGGGCCAGGCGCCAGCGGCGCTGGGAGCGTTCGCGGCGGACATACTTGTCAATCATTCCTATAATGCGGTCGTATGTTTCCGGCGTACAGCTGGCGTTGGGCGCACTGGATACGGGATGCACGACTTCATTCGGTTCTGTTGTCTGAGAGGCTGTCCGGCTGATGACAGCTTCCACGGCAAAGTGGTCACTCAGCGAGCAGCGCAGCGTCGGATGCCGCTGTGTCATGCCCACCCCGACGGACTGGACTGACCACCGCGGCGCAGGATAGGCAGGCGGGTACCCGCCGTCCCCGACGAAGATGTAATCCAATCTCTTCCCGCGGGGACAGGGTGCGTCCTTATCGACAAGCACATCCTCTCCTTTCTCCAGACGCTTGCGATCCTCCTTACTCCACCGCCAGGTATTAAACCTGCCGTCGCAGGTGGCGCCGTTCTCGACCAGGTTAAACTCCGCCGTGGGCACTGGCCTGTTCCGTTTCTGCTCCGGCAGGTCGATCGCGGCGCCAACCGACGAGTCCGGATGCAGGACCTGCCAGACATCGCGGACGGGCGCATGCGCGTGGATAAGCTGGTGCGCAAAACTCGAGGGGATCATGTTGAAATCACCGAGTCCGATGACGAGGTGTCCGCGCTCGGCCGCGCCGCGCATCAGCTTGGCGATTTCCCACGCCTGCGCGGTGCGGTGGCAGATATACGAGTCGTTGGGTTCTCGTTCGTAGGGGGCGTGCAGGTGTGTGCAGAATACCTCTGCGACGTCGCCGACGTCTGGTCCGAACCGGATGCGCGCGCAGGCGACGCCCTTGCCGACGAACCAGTCGCCGCGGAAGAAGGCTGTGGGCCGGCCGTTGAGTGGGTAGGCGTACATGGTGCTTTCTTCAATGGGCCATTTGGAGAGGATGGCTAGTCCCGCGCCGAAAATGCCGCCAAAGTAGAACTTGCCATAGGGGAGGATGTGGCTGGTTTGCTGACGGATGCTCTCGTAGTCTTGCTGCGTCCAGCATTCTTGCAGACCGACTATTTGGGGAGGAGGGTCGGCGAGAGCGAGTTGACGGCCGATCTCAGAGAGTCGTTCATGGCGGTATTTGGCGAGATATTTGAGGCCCCAGCAGTTGAGGGTGAGGATGCGGATCTCGGAGGGCGGGGAGGACAGAGACGGAGAGGGAGATCGAGAGGGGTCCATTGTGTCTGTCGGTATATCAAACGATCGATGAATGTTGTATCAGAAGCATTCTCGAAGATCTATCGGAAGAAATTATTTCAAAAGCAGTAGACAGATGCGGAGCGCAGTTTCTTGCCAAAGTCAAGGACATTATTGCATGCCTGAAAACTGAGGACAACGATGAAGTCACGTCTTCACCGCCTCAGGCCGTAAGGCCTCATTGGCCCGCGTGATTTTCATTATCGCGGGATTGTTATCACAAGTCTCTGCCATTGAGAGTCACATCCCTAGCTTCTTACCAGTCAATTGACACGGCCCCAAATGGACAATTCAGATCATCGCTCTAAACGTCGCCGACTAGAGAGTTTGTCTACGCAGGACATCAGCACTCCCGAGAGTAAACATGTTTATTCGCCCATCGACTCCTCGTCGGATGAGCTAGCGGCTCTCTCCGACCATGACGAGCAACGTCGTCGCGTCAGCTGGACTGCGCAAAAGGTGTACACCCCTAAACGACCCTACCGTCGATCGCGGAGCTTCAGCGGCTCAGAATCTCCTGATGAACTGGCCGTCGACGCCGACGTCTACTGGCGGTCGCGTAACCGCGGACGCAGCAGCCCGTCGCACTCCGAGACCAGCGCCCAGGAGCAGTTGTCGGAGCGCTATCAGGATGACGAGCTTGAGGCAGATGAGGACGAGAGCGCGGGGGATGTAGAGGTTGACCAGGCGTATTCGGACCGGTCGCCTACGCCAGTGCCTCCGCCGGCTCCTCCGCCGCCGCCCAAGCCGGAGAAACTGACTTATCAGCAAAAGTTCTTGCTCAGAGGGCATCTGCGGGGCGTATCGGCGGTGAAATTTTCTCCTGATTCTACCATGATCGCCAGTGGAGGTATGTTCGGCTGTCAGACACGATGTTGAGATGGGGTGTAACTGATGTATCTAGGGGCCGACGGGGCCGTCAAGGTTTGGGATACGCGCAGCGGGAAGCTCATCCATACGTTCGAGGGGCATTTGGCGGGTATTTCCACAATATCCTGGAGCCCGGACGGGGCTACGATCGCGTCGGGGTCGGATGACAAGACCATCCGGCTGTGGAATGTGTTGACGGTAGTGCCAATGTGTCTACGTCTGTGGTTTGACCAAACTAATGTCTCTTCTTCCATTGACAGGGCAAAGCTCACCCGATTCCATTTGTCGGCCACCATAACTACGTCTACCAAATTGCCTTCTCCCCAAAGGGTAACATGCTGGTCAGCGGATCCTACGACGAAGCGGTCTTTCTATGGGATGTTCGGTCCGCCAGCGTGATGCGGTCCCTGCCAGCGCACTCCGACCCGGTCAGCGGGATCGACGTCGTCTGGGACGGGACGCTCATCGTCTCATGCGCCACGGACGGTCTGATCCGGATCTGGGACACGGCGACGGGCCAGTGTCTGCGGACGCTCGTGCACGAGGACAACCCGCCCGTGACGGCGGTCAAGTTCTCGCCCAACGGCAAGTTCGTGCTCGCCTGGACGCTCGACGACTGCGTGCGGCTGTGGAACTACGTCGAGGGCCGATGCATCAAGACGTACCAGGGCCACATCAATCGGAAATACAGCTTGCTGGGTGGGTTCGGGATCTACGGGCTGCCGGGGCGCCGCCGGAAGCGTTTGTAGTCAGCGGAAGCGAGGACGGTTCGATCCTCTGCTGGGATGTGGTGAGCAAGAAGATCCTGCAGCGGCTGGAGGGGCATAATGGGGTTGTGCTGGGCGTGGATACGTGCACTCTGGGAGAGCAGCGGCTCATGGTGAGCTGCGGACTGGACGGGACAGTACGCGTCTGGGAGGAGGTAGAGGAGAAGGAGGAGGCCGCCGAAAGCGACGATGTCGCCGTGAAGGCGGAAGTGAACGGAGATGGAGACAATGCTGGCAGTTCTGACGACGGTCGCATGAGAAATGCCGAAAATGGCGTCGCCGCAGACGAAGCAGTAAACGGTCTCAAAACCGAACCACCTACTCCGCAACCCGAAGAAGGGACGGCACTGACGAGACGAAAGACCAAGACGGCGACACATTGATGGAATGACGGATTAATTGCAAATTGCGGATGTATGTATATTAGGATACCCCGGCGTCTGGAGTTGTACTGCCTTATCTATATTCTCATGCAGTAGTCTACGTCTACATCTTCCTTCATACCTAGGTTGCGGTGAGAGGCATTTCCAATCCAGCATAGCGTGGGACCAATTTCACATGAGACCCAAACGTTAGTACCCTTATTAACCGAACGTCGACTAATATCCTCCTGTAATGCTTTGTGGTTGTACCTTCATTATTAGGGTTACCCAGATCAACAGTGGTTCTCCCAATCAGCATTGAGCCTGTAGCCCATTTTGTTTGATGTTATCTAACGTCCACCAATCAGATTGCTTTCCATGCTATTCTTCCCACAAATCCATGGTTCAGAAGATAAACACATAAATAATGCTTTTGAAGTTAGAGACAATGCCCCTCCTCTTGATATTGATCAACATGTTTCACAGTTTCACCTTCCCTTTGTAGATAGACTACTAGACTAATAATGAATCTGTTATAAATTATGGGGCTATTCTTTACTTTGTAATTGATTTTGAACCAGAATAATAGAATTCTACAGGCAAATACAGAGCTAAACACAGAGTCTAGACTGGCCCTTCTGTGAAGGGTGCTTTGTTTTCTAAGTTTTTTTTAGCGTACACAATACCCGTTCGGTTCCCACAGACTTTATGTAGTAAGGGTATACGTATTCGCCCACTGACTCTGGTGGGAAGACTCGGACCACAATATATAACAGAAATCTAAGAAACATAGATATGTCCAGTGGAGGTGAGATCACTTCCGCTGATCAGGTAGTTGTTCGCACACATGAAGTAGGCATAGCGGGCGACCATGGGCTGCGAGTCCAACCAGGGGAGGACCTCGCTGAGGAACTGCTCGGACTCGCTAGACGAAGCGCCGGTGCTGATGTCGTTGTTGAGGGCAAACTCGGTGATCCAGACACTCTCAAGGCCCTTCTCGGAAGCGAACGAGATGGCCTGGTTGACGAAGACCTTGAACTCCTCGGCGGAGTTACCGTACCAGTGCACGGCGAGGGCGCTGATGCCGCAGTCCGTGCAGGACTGCAGGAAATTGTTCATCCAGTCCAAGCCTTGGCCGGCAGAACCGCTGTTGGTGACACCGGGGGAAACCAGCTTGGCCTTGCCGCTGTAGGGGGTGATGTACTGCTTGTAGGCCTGCGCGGCCTCGGAGGGGACATGGCGGACTGGCCGCTATTGTCAGGCTCGTTGAAGCCCAGAATGTACGTGCTGCCGCTGGCAAGGGCCGTCTCGATGGCTGATAGCCAGCCGCCGAACATCTTGCTACCCCAGAGCATGGGCACGAACTCGACGCCGGAGGGCAGAGTACCCGAGGCCAACATGTTCCAGTCGTATGCCCAGGAAATCGAGCCATCGCTGCCGAGGGCTTGCACGGCCGAGACATCGTTGTAGGCGGCTCCGCGCTTGGTGCTGGAGCGCTTCTCGACGTGGCGGTGCTGGTGGCCGTGGGGTGCGGCCACGGCGGAGGAGGCCAGAAGGCCGGCAGTGAGGAGGTTCTTGAAGGAGACCATTTTGATTCTTCTCTTCTTTTGTCTTCAAGTAGGTTGAGTAAGGAGCGAGCCGAAAAGCAGAATCCTCAAAGATTTGACAAGGGAGTGAGGGCGTGCTTGAGCAAGCAAGCAGCAGATAAAGTCACAAGAAAGGAATGACTATTGACCGTGCACTGCACAGGACAATAACAGCAAAAGCAGATTCTAAAGGAGAGTGACGAGAGGATGACGAGAGGAGAAGAAGATGAAAAGATGGTGAAGAGGTCGAGGGGAAGAGGCACATTTAAAAGATTGTGTCTGTTAGGGTAGGCGCCACAAAGAGAGACCCCCAACGAGAGTCTGGGCGCCAATCCTCATGAAAGACAACATTATTGCCATTGTTCCTGCTTTGTTTTCATCTGAATAACGGGAAATTCAGCGAATGCAGCAATCTGATTTGTAGAGATGGGTTCCTGTTCCTTAGGCGAACACGCATCCACGGAACTCCACCAGGAGCAATCCACGGTGGAGGATGGCCCGACCATTGGGCCTATGGAAGAGACATGTCTGTCAGGTACAGGTACAGCCGGAGACAGCTCACATCCTGCGAAGATGATTTGGCACCACCGACAGACAGAATGGATTCGAATGTGGGCCACAAAGATCCGTGAGGATGAAGAAGATGATGATTGATTGATGGATCAAATGGGAGAAGACGTGATTGGGTCTGGACTGCCTGAGCGCCTAAGGCTGCTGACACTAGTCAGCACATGTTTTTATTTCCCGAAGTCTGTTCAAGACTGCTCAAGAATAATCGAGTCTCATGGAAATAGGAAATATTAGTGAAACACGTCAATTAGCAGTCTTTGTTTAAGACAGAAATAACGGTGCACACTATTTAGTGAGCATCCAGCCAGGTCTGGAGTATTGATTGATTGCTACTGCTACAGTGCGTTAGTTGACCACGTCTCATCCCGGTGTCGTTAGCGGTCTTTGTAATGCTCCACCGGAGATCCACGACAGTCCAGACCAGAAACTCTGATTTCTCTGATGTCCCTTTCCATTTGACCGCGAGATATCATTACCGAAGACTTATTCTCGAGTTCCTCGGCGTGTTTGATTACTCTCTGGGCGGAATTATCCAGGGAGCCCTGTATCTAGCTGCTGACCGACAAACAAGCCGAAACTCGTCGAGTCAACACCAGGAGAGACAAAGAACTCGAGCAGGAGACCACTGACATCAAGTTTGCGAGGTGGCTGTCCTGCATACGTACTATGCTCCTAGTGCTCCGGATGGACTCACTATCTGCACACTAAAAAATCATGAAACACGCCGATCGCTGAGGGCCGCCACTACCAAGCATCGCCGGCCTGCCCACTAGCTTCCTAGTGTGCGCTTTATTCGACCACTGCCTTAAGAGCAAATGGCAAGGCACACTGTTTTGTTACTGGTAAGCCAGACGACGTGGACGTGGAGATGTGGCTGTCGCCATATCAAACGTCTCATCAAACTTGAATTTTGTCGTTAGGATTCCCCTCGTCCACACTAATGAAGAAAGAGAATTCTTTCTGGAACCATGTCTGGCCTCCAACTTTCTCCTACGCCTGACAACCTGGTATTCCCGATCGATTGCCGATGGTTGACATTGAACAGTTTCCTTCGTTCGTCCTTTCCTCGGGGTCAGGTATTGGACAGGAATGGGTCACCGTCAGAGCTGACGGAAGCCGCCGGGTTGTCATTGGAACATCCATCTGATGACCCTCGCTGACATCCAGGCTCCACGTCTGACAGCAGCCACTGAGCTATCAGAGAGTGGCGCTGCGTGGCAAGCATGATATCTGCCTGGCGGTGGTCCTCCCCGGCGTAGCGCCGACCACGGGGACTGTACCATGATAGCAAACTCTGTCAGATTAGCGGATCCATCTATCAAACTCAAATTGTAAGAGGGATTCATCTGGAAGAAGCCGGAATGCTTATGGTCAACTGCATCACTTCAGGAACACCCCGGAATCCCCAAACAAGACGATATCTGTACCAAAAGAAGGCATTGTCTTCGCACTCCAGCCGGCAGAACTTTCCCTCAGTATCGCGCGGGCCCTACTAGTAAATAGGGGGATTTGCCTCGGCTGTGAGGGACATCCTTCGCCGACTCATCATGAAGTCATTACCCGATTCGGTAATCATCCATGTCGGTTGGTAAGACGCACGATTCGTAGACCACTTCCACAAGTCTCCGGGTTCACAACTATAGTAAGGATTGATCAGCTTGAATAGAGTACTTACTGTATCCCTAAACCATCCCCTAAACAGCGCCAATGTTGAGAAGACGTCTGAACAAAATCGCTTCCAGCCAATCACCGTTGGGGAGACAATGCCCTGCCTGGCCTGAGGAGACTCGGAGACGGAGATCGTCATGATAGCATCCTGAAATTGGAAGTACCAAATGTCGATACCAGCATTCGAATCTATAGTATACTAGCCTTCGATATCCGTGCTACACTGTACATCTTATTCTCCTTGTGTTGCGGATCTCGTTTTCTCTTCTTCATTCACGACAGAGCCATCCTGGGACGGGATCATCTGTTTTATTCACCTCGAACGGAGTCCTCCTGCGGTTGTGGAATTCAGAATGACTGGATGTGAACCGAAGGTTGTTAGGTAACCTGGTGGTTTGCATTGATGGCTTATGCAACTTACTAAAACCATGACTGCCTGTCCCGACAGAAGATCCCCAGGCGGATCGTGCGTCTGTTGCCCTGGGTTTCTATCTCCTACTATAGGCCCCAGGGCTCTAATGCTAAATGGAATTCCGAAAAGCCTGACTTTCTGTGCGCTAGGGTAGGCGCCTTTAAGTGCGCGCTTTTCATGAGCATCCAGATATCGGATGTTCAGTCAAAAGCGCCCACAACTCAACTCCAAGCCCTTGACAGAATTCCTGCCATGTTCCCTGCTCCCGCGAATGCTATGACTTGAGCATCGAATGAACGACAGCGGGCCGTAAACCCAAGGAGCAGTCACCTAAAGAACAAGGAGGAACAGGTGCCCCTCCGTCAGCATCACTGCTGGTAAGATCTTCTCGTAAACTTCCCGCCAGCCCCTCCCTGCTTAAGAGATACCACTTACAAATAGAGTGGAGATGAAGCTCGCCAGTGGCAAGTCGGCCGGTCACGTTTGCGCAGACGAAACAATTGAACGGAATGGGACCTGTATAATCCGGAGGAGCCAAAGCACCTCCGTCAGCACGAATGCTGGCAAGATCTTCCTTATAGACTTCCCACCAGCCCCTCCCTGCCTAGAAAGTAATATACTTGCCTGTAGATACATGGTCGTAAAATCGTTAAGGTGAGCGGCTTGATGTCATTCAGACAGTATAAGCGAAGGGAGACAGGCACACGACTGCTAGTCGGACTTTCTCGATCAGCTTCTGGCCAGCTCCTCCCTGTCAAACGAAGAGGATCACTTACCCGAGGGGACAACAGTCTATGATGCTGTGCATCCGTAGTACAAGTGAACCGCATATGGAAGCCTAAGAACTGCAGGACCAGAAGGCACCTCCCTCAGCAAGGTGTTTACACAATACTGGTATAAGATCCTTCCTCCCTACAAACTTCCCGCCAGCCCGCCCTGCCTATAGAGAAGTCACTTACCTAGGTAACGTTCAAATACCTGATTCCGCTCGAATGGAGCGGGATCAATCGGATGAGCTGATGAGATGAAAACCCTACACCACCGACGGATCCCCCACCACGTCCACTGTCAGCACAATGTCACAAAATGCTGGTAAGGTCTTCATAAAATTCCCACCAGCCCGCCCTCCTTATGGAAGTCACTTACCTGATCGTGGCATATGTTCGACTCTGTCTGAAAAGAGGGCAAGAAAGAAAGATCGAATGGTTGAAGTCCTACAACAACGGCCCACCCCCCAACGTCCACTATCAGCATTACTGCTGGTAAGATTTTTCCCTATGAACTTCCCGCCAGCCCGCCCTGCTCAAAGATCAGTCACTTACCTAGTGCGATGGTGTGTCTGCCGTTGTGTCAAGTGGACCGTCAAAGGAATATCGAAGAGATGGAGCCCTACATCAACAACCACCTCCGTCAGCACAGTGTTTCCACCATACTGGTAAGATCCATCCATATAAACTTCCCACCAGCCTCGCCCTGCTTAAAGAAATGTCACTTACCTGGTGTCACGACTCATTGGCTTTGTGCTGCGCAGGCGAATGGATCCCATCACGGAGGAAGCCCTGTATCAACACCACTTCCCTCAACACAGTGTTTCCACACAATACTGGTACAAGATCCTTCCTCTCGATAAACTTCCCGTCAGCCCCGCCCTGCCTATAGAGAAGTCACTTAATCGAAAATGCCGTATGATCAATATCGTATTTTGCAGAAGATGAATGGTGTTCGAACGAGGACCTGCACCAAACGACCACCCCCCAATGTCCACTATCAGCACAGTGTTTCCACAAACGCTGGTAAGATCCTTGCTATGAACTTCCCGCCAGCCCACCCTGCTCATAGACGAAGTCACTTACCTGACTATATGATGATCGAAGTTGCAAGCCACAACGAGACAAAGGTGGAACGTGTAAAATCCTACAACAAACGACCCACCCCCGCATCCACCGTCAGCAAATTGCTGGTAAGTTCCTTGCCATAGCTTCCCGCCAGCCCGCCCTGCTGATGGATCAAGTCTCTTACCTCTTATATCGTTATCAAAGGACAGAGAGACAGATGCCTGCATATACAGGGGCAGACAACCTGGATAAAAGTTAGGACAAGCTCGCAAGATTCTTTTGCTGTCGCACCTTTCAAATGGAGGGAAACTTACGTCGAGGATTGCATCACAGAGCCGGGAGCTTGTTGTGTCGTCACGACAGAGTGAGGTGTCTCAATAACCTATTCAACAGAAGGGACACAAAGGCCCCTTCGTCAGCACAATGACTGGTAAGGTCTTCCACCGTCTCCGCCGATCAACTAATCAATCCAGGGAAGTACTATGGCATGGCACGAAACGATATCAGACTTAGTACTGCTCAATTCCAACCGTTCTCTCGACTCTTAGACTGTCTGTGACAGCAGGCTGTGGCAAGAGGAGGAAGGCGGCAAGAAGCCGGCAGTGTGAACTATATGGAAGAGCTTGGTACAATCTGCGTATTTCGTGGATGGCAAGTGATGCGAACAAGAAAAGGACCACACAGCACAATATACAACAGACAAAGAACGCAAACTTGCAAGACACAAGTCAGATTCTCACGATTATCCGTCTTGCCCCAGGCATGTCCACCAGCAGAAGCCAAGGACCATGAAGGACCTCTAGGACATCTGCACGGGCAGTGAAGCTCGCAGCCTTGACATAGGCAAGGACTTAGTGGTAAGCTTCTTCTCGAGCTGTGGAGTGTGACAAGCTTGAAGTCAAGACCTTGTCAGCAGGCTTCACTGGGGCCGATGAGCTCGCAGCCAGGGCACATTATGACAGCCATAACTGAAAGAAGGAGCAGCCTTGAACGGATAACTCGGTGAACCCATGCCACCTCAATCCCTGGATGATAAAGAAGAAAAAAGCTCAGGTTCTTACCTGAAAGAATGAAGCTCTTGAATAGAGTCAAGCAGCTCTAACTTGGAGCTCAATTGATGAAGTCTCAAGTGAGTCCAAGTGGGAACAGGAGAGAAGGAAGAAAAAGAGAAAGAGAAGGACAAAGAAAAAGAAAGAAGTAGTGAGTCAAAAGATGAAACGAAGGAATAGTTCTAAGCTACTCATCTACAGGATAAAGCAACTCAGAGTGAAACGGAGAGTTGGAGTAAAGATGGAGGAAGATGGGGGTCGAGGGGATCTTATCCTGGAGAGAAACAAGCGAGCCTGGGAGAAAACCTTCGCGCGTCAGCACGGCATTCACAGGGCCATTAACGAAGACTGAGGTAATCGATGTGCACAGAGGACGAGGAGTGAGAGAAGAAAAAGAACCGGCAGAGACCCAGCAAGGTGAATGTGTTGATACGATGGTACTCTGTGCTCACACGATCAAATCACATAGTCGAGGACGGCAACAACAAAGTGGAAAACATGGGAAGATAAAACCTTCTGGGGTCTAGTTGCGGAGAACCATAAACAATGATTGTCGATATGCCTATAATAGAAACACAAAGTGGTGGAAATGAGTCAATTCGAAAGGATAGCCATGGAATCGTCCATACATGAATGCTACTGTTACAACAGAATCAGTCTTTCTTCCTCCCTTCCAGAACACGCAACACATCAGCTGCACTATTCTTGTCTCCTTTCTTCTTCTTTGGACCCCTCTTCCTCTTCTTGCTCCCTTCGTTTTCAAACACAACCGCCTCGTCATCTTCCTCATCTTCGTTGCGACTCCCTCCAAATCCAAAGTCCAAATCTGCAGCGTCCAGTGCTTCGCGGCGTCGAGCTTCCTCCAGAAACTTCTTTCGACGCAAGAGAGTTTCGTCATCCACGTCTTCCTCTCCTTCCCCAGAGACCGCCCCGCAGAGGGTGACGCCTGCCGCAAGGCAGCAGCCCGCTTTAACGCTGCCAGCAAAGTCGGATCCGTGGTTAGGGGGTTAGCACGACGGTCAGACTCTGGGGGTTCATCTTTTGCGGAGGTAGAGAAGTAATTGCGAGGTTTGTGCGGCTCGACAGCGGGGTTCTCTTCTTTCGCGCTAATGCTTGTCTTTTCTGTAGTTTGAATCTGTCCTTCGTCCTCATCCGAAGAACTATCGTCCTCATTCTCGTCTCCTAACGGGTTGTAATCGGCTCCTACACCCTCGAAGATATCGTCATCCTGATCCGTAGAAGGAGGGGCTGCTGCCTTAGCAGCGATTTCCGCTGGAACCTCCATACCCAGTGGCTTCGCGTCTTTTTCAGGTACAAGCAAGCCGTTACCTTCACCAGGCTTGTCGAGCCATCTCACTTTTCTCTTGGTCTTGCCCTCTGCATCCGTTATCACAAGCACCTCCCTCCGTCTCCCGTTCTCATCTTGCTCAATGAACCTTTTCTTCTCAACCTTGGATTCACCAATTCTCTTAAATTTGCCACCCAACGCTGGCTCAGGAGAATGCGACGTAGCAGTAGCAGCGGCCGCAGCCGCACGGCTCGCTTTTAACTCTCGTAGTATCTCATCCCGCGTTTTCTTCGCAGGCAGCAGCGGCGGCGCCATGGTTCCTTTCTTCTCCTTTTTTTCCTTCGGCGCAGAAGGTAACACCGTCTGCTCCTTCTCCTCCAAAACACGGTCGAATGCCTCATCCACGTCCTCAGCCTGATCCAGCCCTTCTTCATTCTGTGCTTCGGCCGAAGCCGGCACTTCCTCGGACGCTTTCGTTACATCCTCCCCTGCCTTGACACGCTTCAGAAGCTCCCAGTCTAGACCTTTCACCATGTGCGTGCTCTTAAGATCACCGCCCACCCCGAGCTCAGACCGTATCTTGTCAAACGTCGCCTGGTCGATCTGCCCCAGCTTAACCATCTCCTCCAACGCCTGAACGCGCTTCTCAATATCCGAGCCACTTTCATCTTGTTCTTGCCGCAGCAGCGCAGCTCGATCCTGATACCCTGTGGGCAATTTCGTGCCCTTGGGAGCGGCGGAGGACTTGAACCGTTTCGTAGGTGGCTGCTGGGACTCGCGGCGTTGTTCGGCCAATTGCCGGGAGAAATCGACTTTATTTACTGAGCGCCTAACCGTAGAAAGACAATTTAGTTAGCTTGCGGTTCATATTGCTCCTTTCTTCTCTCATAAGACTGTCCGTGGTTGACATGGGGGAGTTACATACGGTGTCATTGGGATGCTGGAGCGCATCCTTGATCCGAGGGCGAGTGCGCGCGGCGTCGCACCGGCCACGCCTGCATCTTGCTTCGGGGATGTTTCATCTACGGGACTTGTCTTGTTGGCTCTAGTGCTGGCAGAGGGTGTGTCTAGTACCAGTCGTCGGAACTGCTGGTTATTCATGACGGCAGAGAAGGTGATAATAGGTCGTAGAGGTAGAGAGACGGTCGTACAAGCAGAACTTCTGCGTCAATAGAGACATGTATGGTGTAGACGCTGAATCTAATATATTTTTCACAAGAGAACGAATTTTGGTTGTTCAGATTGCTTCCTCGTTCATTTCCTCTTCATCGCGTCCGATGTCCGACCGCGATAATCGTCGGGCGGAGTGGAAAAAAAGCGGCGCGGAGCTGGGTCGTTGCACTCCGCACGGGTACGTCAGGGTTCTTGGCGGCATTTGAGGTTAATACTTGCATTCCGTATGGCCAAGCCAAGCACTCTATACAGAAGAAAGAAGGGAAGCATTCCTACGAAAGATGGATGTTGAAGGATGGTGTAGTCTGCATATTGCAATTGAAGATTACTGCCGACTGTATCATCGCACGGAAATCCTAGTGAAAGGCATAAAGCTTTTATTTGGCGAGTTCAAGAGCTATGTGACACTAATTCCACATAGGAAGCTGTAAAAAGTACGAGAAGATTAGAGTATATCTACCGCTATTTCACCCACAAAATACTTTAAAGGGTTTCCCATCCGCCGTTATTGATGTCTGCCTCCAGCTTGCGACTGATAGTGGCAGGGATGTTGTGATTCAGCCACACATCACGGAGGAGTCGATCGTATCGTTTTTGATTGAGAATCAGTTGCCGGTTTCGTCGGAGTCCGGGATCAACTTCGCCATGGCGGTCAAGGTATGGAGCGAAATGCCAGGAGCCGTTCTTGTTATGGAGATAGAGGATCGCGCATTTGCGGATGTTGATGAAGAGACCCACGTTTTTGCCACATCTAGTTGTGCGCGAGTTAGCACTTATCGAAAGAGGGACTCGTAGGGGATGCATGATCACTCACTTCTGCAGATGCTGGTTACAGCCTCCTACTCTATTGTCCACCGAGCAGCACACAGCTTGCGAACAAAAGATATCTCCACAGAAAAGGCAAATACTTGGGTCGGTCAATTCCTTCTTCGTCTTCGGACACCGTCTCCGGTTGACTTCTTCGATCAAGATGTCATAGTGTTTCGGGAGCCCGATCAGCTCGAAGATAGCTGGATGAGGAAGACTTGGCCACAATTGGTGGTCAGTGATGCGGGTGCCTACGCGAGAGCTGTTCCAGTGAGAGATCCAGCCGGCAACCACGGCATCAAGCTCGTTGACTTTCTTCGCAGGGTTGAGAGACGAGAATATTTCGTCGAGAGAGGGAAGTTGCAGTAGTTTTGTCAGCCGGTCCAACTCTGAAGCTCCCATGTCGTTGAATCCAGCGGTCGGGAACTCGACGCCATGTTGGACGTGAAGCAGGATGACAACCTTTCGGAGGAAGGCTAGGGCGTAGCTTGATACCAGCCGTCTCAGTGCGATGATTATGCCTGGCGTTGCTGAGTCCTCGCCATCCTTGACGTAGCCACTGTCTGCAGCAAACGAAGATCCTTCATCATGACGGAATGAGTTCTCTCTCAACTCACCGACAATGGCGTTGAAGAAATGGCGAGTATACTCATACCGCTCATCCGATAGCTCAACGTCCAAGAGATAATGCGCGTCTCCGTGTTCGGCAAGTTCCTTCTTCAGTCCTTGCGGATGCAAGATGTAGGTCATGGCCACTTTGACGATTTCAGCCACATAGCACAGCTGGACGACGTGGCCTACATCAATCTTCAGCACGGACAACAGAGACAGGGAGCATTCTGCCAGGAAGACAAATGTATCCTTGGCCAGCATGGGCTCAATATCACGGGCGCCATCGAGCAGTGCTGTGCCGACCAAACAAGGATGGCCAACAAATAACTGGCAAATCTTCTGACGATGTATTTCCTGAAATTCATCGGCAGCACGGCTGTGATGACCGCCGCTCTTGTACAAACACCCGACTGCAGCATATGATAAGGCAGTCTCGGCC